TGTTGCAGGCATGTGGGGAGTGCACCCATGAGTGTAGGGGCTGGAGTCCACTCCAGCTGGGTTCAGAACTCGCGAAGGGTGCGTGGATGAGGCGCAAACAGGAAAGAAAGACGGACCACTAGGATTTAATGATCATAATGGAAAATGCACGAAAGCTGTCCACTTTATAGAAAATCAGTCAAACTCTAGCTCAGACTTTTTACGTCATGGTCAAGTGGGTGCTTCTAAGGATAATTCTGCCATTTGTTTTACCTAAAAACATTAGAAGTTCCTGCTACAATTCTTATCCTACAACTCAATCTTGTATCACAAAGACAAGGAGGAAAGAATGAAATCCTAAATACAGGTCCCTTGATTAGCATAAGGTCAATGGGGACAGCCAAGACAGTAGGAATGAGAGAAGGCCCTATAGCAAGACGTTATTATTGACATTAACCTCCAAGCTCACATTGACTAAAAGGCCAACCTCACAGTAACAAACAATGCCTGAGTGGATTAGAATTCTTCCGCAGGGTGGTCCAGTGTCCATGCAAAGGAAGGTGGAGCTGCATTCAGGTGTTGTAGAGACATCCACACGCCCTGCCATACAGCAGGAAGTTCCTTGCGGCTCTGCCTGCAATGGAACAATACTCTTCACACCTTTGCATCCCCCCACATCCACTGCATGGACCCCAACATGTAGGAGCCTCGGGTCATTGTCTACTGCTTTCCTAGAGCATAAACAGGGAGCAGGAAGAGAATTTGAGTAGCCATTGCACCAACTGGTACCCACATGGCTTCCTGGCGCTTGCAGGGGGAAGATTGACCATTTCATGGGAAGGCCTGTTTTCTCCATGTTATATTATGTGAAATATCTAAGGGGACCCTTTTGGGCCTTGTCTCTCCTCCCCCCGCCCCCCATTGAATTCTGCAATGATGTCATAGGTTTGGAAAGTGTGGCCATTCTCCATCACCCAGTGGAAGGATTCCATGAAGTTGAACAGTGTTTAAGCCACTCCTACTTTAATGTAGTTACTGATACAGTTGAAGCTACACCTACCGTCTTGTAGCCTGTTCTCTACTCGCCCTTCCATTCTTTGTCTTCCTCCGGATTGAATTCATTTTGAGATTTCCGCTTTATCTCGGCTCCCAGCTTGTGGGCTATCGCTGTTTGCGTTAACATTGGGCTGTGTTGGCTAAGGCTCCTGACGGGCTGCTTCACTCTGCTGCAGCCCATCCTCAAAGGATGCTTTACCATTTTCTGTGTCAACGAAACCCTCACCAGAGCAGGCCCTTGATTCCCCCAGCACACTTTCCCACAAATGCCCCTTTCCACAGCTGTGCTCCACAACTTCCAGCGGCCCCCACCTTCTGAGGACCCACCTTTGTGCCTCCCCAGGATACTGGTGTCCGACCACGCTGCCCTTCTCTGTGTCCTCGGCAGCTAGGAGGGCGGGCCTCCCCAAAGGCAGCCATTCCCGCTTTGCAGGCTCCAGCACCCCAGGCTGCTGTGCTGCGCTCCTGTCCAATCTTGGAGCTGGTCGGCTGGGACATTTAGAGGGTGAGCCAACTGATGTGAACTCTCTCTTGCATTTTTACAATTAAAATTTTCAGATTTATTTGTTTTTATTGGAAAGTCAGATTTACAGAGAGAAGGAGAGACAGAGAGGAAGATCTTCCATCCGCTGGTTCACTCCCCAAGTGGCCACAACTGCTAGAACTGAGTCGATCCGAAGCCAGGAGCCAGGAGCCTCTTCAGGGTCTCCCACGCGGGTGCAGGGTCCCAAGGCCTTGGGCCGTCCTCGACTGCTTTCCCAGCCACAAGCAGGGAGCTGGATGGGAAGTGGGGCTGCCGGGATTAGAACCAGCGCCCGTATGGGTTCCTGGCACTTGGAAGACAAGTCAGCCACTGAGCCTTCATGGTGAGCCCTACAATTTTTTATAGAGATGTCATATATACTATATAATATAGTGTTCAGATTACATAATATATTATACATAATAATGTTATTATTATGTAATATAGATTATGACATAATAACATTATATGATGTTATTACACATAAGTATTATATGTAATATTATATAATATAAAAATATAAATATCCTAGAATACTTATATAAAATCTATATTTATATAAAACTTCTGTGTATATTTATTTAAAATTAGGTCTACATAGAGAAGTGATTTAGGTTTACACCCAGATCCCATCCAGTGGTCCACTCCCAAACGACCACAGCGGCAGGTGCTGGCCACCGGAGCCAGAAGTCTCGAGCTTTTCGCACATCTCCTGCACAGCTGGAGGGCCCCGAAGCACTTGGGCCATCCCCCACTGCTTTCCCAGGTACAGCAGCAGAGAACTGAATGGAAGTGGAGCAGCCAAGCCTAGAACCAGCATTCCTGCTTTTCATGTGAGATGCCAGTGTTGCAGGTGGTGGCTGCACCGGGTAAGCCACAACACTGGCACTGGAATGAATTTTCTAAAAAACACAAATGTAATTAAAAGAATTTGCTTACCCCTGCTTTGGCAAATCCACAGCCGGTCTGAATCACAATGGTAAATATAGGAGGGAAACAAGAGAGCAGGGACCTGTGTGCAGCCACCTGAGCTGTTAATGTCAGAGTCTGGTCCACAACCCAGGAGGCTGCACCCAGCACGGTAGCCTAGTGGCCGCTGAAGTCCTCACCTTGCACATGCCAGGATCCCATAGGGGCACTGGTTCTAATCCCGGCAGCCCCGCTTACCATCTAGCTCCCTGCTTGTGGCCTGGGACAGCAGTCAAGGGTGGCCCAAAGCCTTGGGACTCTGCACCCACATGGGAGACCTGGAAGAAGCTCCTGGCTTCAGATCAGCACAGCTCTGGCCATTGTGGGCACTTGGAGTGAACCAGCAAATGGAAGAGCTTTCTGTCTCTCCGTCTCTCTGTGTACCTGCCTTTCAAAAGAAAATAAAGAAATCTTAAAAAAACAAACCACAGGAGGCTTTCCAGTTCCCAGTGCACTGCCTGGTGTTTGTCTCTACTTGTCTCTGCAGCCAAATCTCTAATTTTGATGTATTTATGACGTGAAAGGCAGCCACGTCATGGCCCTGCGGTTAACCGCTGGGAACTGAAGGCTGTCGGTGTCTCCCACTTCGGCAGCAGGGAGGCCACCACTCGAGCCATCTCCTGATGACCCCCAAAGTGTGCCCTGGCAGGAGACGAGCCCAGGCACCCTGATGTGGCATGGGGGTGTCACAAGCTGCACCCCAGCCTCATGGCCAAATCCCAGTTCTTGAGTCCGGATTGCATTGAACACTTCTAGGGCAGGAATCGGATTCTTCAACACAAGTCAGCTTTTTATTTTTTTTTAAAGATTTAGTTATTTTCATTGGTAAGATAGGAGAGACAGCGAGAGAGATCTTCCACGCACTGGGTCACTCCCCAAGTGGCTGCAACAGCTGGAGCTGAGCCGATGGTCCATCCAGGGCTTCCTCCGGCTTTCACATGGTGCAGGGTCCCAAGGCTTGGGCTGTGACTTTCCCAGGCCACAAGCAGGGAGCTGGATGGGAAGTGGAGCTGCCCTGACACAAACATGTACCCCTATCGGATCTCAGGGCTTACAGGGGGAGAATCAGCCAACCAGCCAATGCTGGCACCAAGCTATTATCCCCCTTCCAGCTTCTCAGTGGGGGTCCGCAGTACTGGGGAGCTCTCAGGGGCCCCCTGAGGAGACTGTGAGGTCAAACCTGCAGCCATAACAGTGTCAGGTATGTAATATTCTCATTGTGTTGGACATTTTTGCCAAAGATGCAGAAGCCGTACTAGGTAAATGTTGGTTTCTCTTATCTCAGCCCTGACGGGGCTGCGGCCCCAGCGGCACTCGGAGGTTGCTGTTCTTTGGCTACCACACAATAGCAGAGACAGTAGAATGTTGAATGCACTTCCGTAATGTAGAACTGACTAATTTTATTCAACCTAGGTCCTTCAGAACGTGTCTTTGTATCCTTCTGGTGATGGTACGTGGGCAGCAGATACAGGAGCTGTCTGAAGTTTGTACCATGCTTTGCCTCCTGGGTAGACTAGACGTGTAATTCCTCCCTCCCCCCTTCCTCCCTCTCTTTTTCCTTCTCTCTCTCTCCGTTTCCCTCTTTCTCTTAATTTCCTTTTTATTTTTGATGATATTCACATAGTTGATGAGGGAGGGAAGGGCCCAGGGCTAAGGGAAAGCGGAGGAGATGGCTGTTTCCAACTTTCCTTTTCTTCCTCCGGTATCTGGCAGAACTGAGGATAAAAGGGCAGAAGCTGCACCCAGCCTCCCAACCGCCTCAGTACCCAGGGACGGGGAACGGCCACCCAGTGTCACCCCGGGGTCCCCAGTGTGTAGCACGCCCCGAGGCTTCTGCTACAGTGGTTTCCATAGTTCTGAAATACTGTCGATCTCACCAATCCAACAATGAGGAAATCCTTCTAAGGACCGTTGGCTGGCATAGTCCACCTGAGTCTCTGTTGCCTCAGGTATCTGCTGCCAATGCTTGGCTGGGGTAGCTGACCAGTTTCTCCTGCTCTCCTTCCTCTGCTTTGGAACCAGATGTCCTCTGCATGGACTGCCATGCGTCCATCTGCAGCTGGGCATGCCGTCCACTGCTCCATCTCACTCACCCAGGAGGCCCACTTCTCACACGTGAAGGAGAACTTACCAACAACAGGGAGCGCAAGCAAGCGAGTTCGCAGGTCGGTTTCCACGGCCACTCCTGTCCTCGGGCCACCTCGTCTGCAAGAGGCCGGACAGCGTGACCGCTTGGGCGTCGAAGGTCGCCAGGCGGGGAGCGCGTCTCACGTCCTTTCGTCTTCCCGCCGCATGGGGGAGTCGAGATTCCGCCGGCGGCGCCCGGGACGGAGCCGCGGCTAGGCGCTCCTCTCTATGGTCCCGCCTCCCTGGGCGCCCGGCGAGCCTCTATGGTTCTTCCTGTCATTAGTCGGGAGGGGGCGCTGTGCGCAGGCGCGGTGACGCCGCGGCAGGGCCGGAAGGAGCGCGGCGGCAGTCTGGTCGGCGGCGCCTCCTGACTGACCTGGCGGCGGCGGCTCCAGCTGACTGGGGCGCCGCGGCGGACGAGCCGGCCGGCTGAGTGAGTGAGGGGCTTCTGCGGGCTTCTCTGCTCGCCGCCTGCGGGCTGTGAGGGCCGAGGGGCGCGGGGTCGGGGTCTGGGCCCCGGGGCGGCGTGTGGGGGGTGGGGGGCCTTGGGCGGCCGCGGCCGTGGAGCGGGGGCTGGCGGTGAGGCAGGAGCGACCCCCCCCCAAAAAAATAACAAACACAAAAAAGAGAAAAGCCGAGAGAGAGAGCCTTGCTCCGGGCGTCCGGCGCTCGGCTCGCGCCACTTGGGGAAGTTTGGTGGGTCGTGCGCCCGCTCGCCCGGCCGGCTGCCCCTCGCCGGCGGCGCGCTCTCCCCGGGGGCATGGAGCGCACGAACGGCAACTTTGAATCCGCGCGGAAGCCGCTCGCGGCTGGGTTCTGGGGAAGGGCGGCAGTGGCCGACGGCCCCGGGCGCTGTTGGGGTCAAGTCCACCGGGCACCCCCCTGGCAGCGCTGACCTTGGGCCTCGGTGCCCTGCAGGGAACTCGCGCCTCCGTGGGCCCGGCGAGGGGAGCGGTCGCCCCGAGTGTCGGGGCGCGCTTTGGTAGCCCCCCGTGGTGGAGCTGGGTTTGCGCCGCTGCGGGGCGAGGCCGAAGGAAGTTAGCGGAGAAGTGGCCTGGCCCTGCTTGTGCCCCGCGGGGTTGGGAAGGGAAGGAAGGGCTGGAGTTTGCACAGCCTGCAGGACCCTCGTTAGGGGCTTGAGACCTTTACTCTGAAGGCGGCTGAATGAAGGCTGCGCACGTAGAAAACAGGAACCGCTGCAGGGCTGTGGCCGCGCGTGTTAGCTGCAGCAGGCATCCCCACTTGGGCACGGATTCCGGTCCCAGCCACGCCGGTGGCAATCTGGCTACCTGCTCCTGCACTTGGGAAGCCAGTACGAAATGGCCCACGTACTTGGACACCCACTCGGGAGGCCTGGGGGAAGTTCAGGCCATTTGGGTAGTGAACCAGCAGCTGCAAGATCTGCCTTTGTGAGCCCGGCCAGGTAGCCTAGCGCCTAAAGTCCTCGCCTTGCACATGCCGGGATCCCATATGGGCACTGGGTCTAATTCCAGCAGCCCCGCTTCCCATCCAGCGCCCTGCCTGTGGCCGGGGAAAGCAGTCGGGGACGACTTTGGGACCCTGCACCCGTGTGGGAGACCCGGAAGAGGCTCCTGGCTCCTCACTTCAGCTCGGCACAGCTCCAGCCGTTGCAGTCACTTGGGGAGTGAGTCAGTGGACAGAAGGTCTTCCTCTCTGTCTCTCTGTATATCCGACTTTGCAATAAAAATAAAATATATTTTAAAAATTGTTTCTGTGACTTTCAAATAAGTATATCATTTTAAAAAATATTTATTTTTATCGAAAAAGCAGATTTGCAGAGAGAAGAAAAGAGACATAGAAAAAAAAAAATCTTCCAGTCTCTGGTTCGCTCCCCAGGCAGCCACAGCTGCCGGAGCCATAAGCAGGGTGCTGAATAGGAAAGCGGAGCTGGCTGGACACGAACTGGCGTGTGCAAGGTGAGGACGTTAGCCACTAGGCTACTGCGCTGGACCCTGTAAATAAAATTTAAAAACAAAAACACCTTTGAAGCCTTTTTGGTGAAGCTTAATCAAGTTGAAATTGATTGACTCGGGGGCCCACAGGTAGACAGGATGGGTGGGAGGCCCGCTGGCTGACAGGAAAGCCAGCTAGAGTGGAACGCGTGTGCTAGGCTCTCGGGTTTCCTGCAGCCTAGGTCTGCCCGCCGCCCGAGCTGATGCGCCCACGTGTGACGGTGCCGCTCTTCTGCCCACGTCACTGTTCGTCCACCTAAGTGTGGTTCTCCGAGCCAGACGTCACAGGCAGCTTCCGTGCATCTGACGCACTGAACTCCACGTGTGGGGTCCCTCGCCCAGTGCGCTGGAGCTGGGCGCTCGGCCTCGGTCTCCCGCACGGATGGCAGGGAGCCTGTGGCCTGGGCTGCTGCTGCCCCGGCACCCTGAGCACCAGCCTGGCCTGTGGAGTGGAGCTGGGATGGGCGTGCGGCGTCCTAACCTCCAGGCCCAACCCTTGGCCTATTGTCTTAATCTCAGGGCTACAATTTATATCATTTTTTTCCCAAAGATTTGATTTTGATATTCTTGAAACTGTAAATGACAGATCTTGTTTGATCCGCTTGGCCACGTGCCTGCTGGCCTGTTGAGCCTGAAACCAGAGCCCCATCTTGGTCTGCTGGGTGGGTGACTGGGGCTCTGAGTGCTTGGCTCAGTCTCTGCTGCTTTCCCCGGCCGGGGCGGAGAGCCGGATGGCAGTGCAGGCAGCTGGGGCTTGGCCTGGTCCTCCGGGGTGGGCTTCCTGTGTGGCTCCTGTGTGACGGGCTGCAGCATGACGCTGTCCCCGGTGGAAGGCAGGGCCACAGATAAAGGGAGACCAAGAGAGATCTTGCGCCTGCTGCTTTGCTGTCCCCGCGGTCCCCAGAGGCCGGGGACCAGGAGCTGCATCTGTTTCCCAGAGTGTGTGGCAGGGACGGGGACACTCCAGCCACGTCCCACCTCTTTCCCAAGCACGTTGGTGGGAGCCGGATCACAAGTGGAGCAGCTGCGAACCGAGGCCGCTGCGCCACAGTGCTGGCGCCTCTCTGCTTTTAAAGGGAACAAACTAAGATGTGGCTAAAAAATAACTTGTCACTTCAGGGGTCATAGTGGGGACTTGAAGTAAACGTGGTTCCGAGGTTCCTGTCACTGACCCTGTGGGGGTCAGGGCTTTCTGGGTCTCACCTGCTGATTTGGGGCTTCCAGAACTGTGGGCGAGAGCTGCGGTCCCGTGCTGCTGTCTGACTTGGCCGCTGCCTTCCCTGCGCCCCGCTCCCTGACTCCTGCGCCCCGCTCCCCGACTCCCGCGCCCCTCTGCTCTTGGCCGTGCCTGATTGTGTGCACGGGTTCTCGTCATTGGAAAGGAAGGGCCGGGTGGGGTTCTCTTCACGTGTGTGAGCACTTGACGGCGTTGTGCAATGGAGACCGGAGCTGTCGCCTCACGCTGCAGCAGTGCTGTGGGAGAGCCCCAGCGGTGAGGGGTGAGGAACGCGAGCAGGTTGGCGCGCCTTGACTTGAGAGCGTTAACCTGGTTGATCACACACGTGAGGATTTTTGCAGTAGAGGCAAGAACTGAAGTGGTGGCTTTTCTGTTCCTTCTGTACTCCGTTTTATTGAGCTGTCCTGTCCGACCAGGAGGTACACGGTGACGCATGTATAGGTTCTGGCTGCTTCTGGAGGGAAAAGGAAATGTGCTATAGTGGAAGCAAACGTAAGCGCGTAGTTTTGTTTGTTTTTTAGATTTATCTTTTATTGGCAAGTCAGATATACAGAGAGGAGAGAGAGGAAGATCTTCCATCCGATGATTCACTCCCCAAGTGGCCACAGTGGCCGGAGCCAAGCCAGTCTGTTCTGAAGCCAGGAACCTCCTCTGGATGGGACTCCAGAGTCCTCGCAGGTTCAAGACTCCGGCTGTACTCAGCTGCCCTCCCAGGGCACAGGCAGGGAGCTGGATGGGAAATGGGGCCGCCAGGATTAGAACCGGCACCCATATGGGATCCCGGCGCATTCAAGGCGAGGACTTTAGGCATTAGTCTACCATGCTGGGCCCCGTGCGCAGTTTGGAAAATGATTTTTGCTTTCTTCCCTTTAGTTTAATTGTATTGTCAACTCCTTTTTTTGATTATTTAAAAATTTTTACTATTAAAATGCTCTGTTGGCATGTACTATGTGTTAATTGGCCTCTTGTGTTTATTTAATGTTCACAGCATTATGAGATGAGAAGAGGGGCTGCTATTGTGACACAGTGCGTTAAGCCGCTGCCTGCAGTGCTGGCATCACATTTGAGTGTTGGTTTGAGTCCTGGCTGCTTCACTTCTGATGGCCTGGGAAAGCTGGCTTTTACTTGTCCCAATCTCTTTAACAGCCATTTGGGGAGTGAGTCAGTGGATGGAATTTCTGGGGGACCCATGTGCTCCCGGGCACAGGGACTGTGAATTGATCAGGAAAGGGGGTAAGGAGGTATGTGGAAGGGAGGACGACCTCCATTGACAAGACCGCTGTGGTGAGACAGCGGCTTGGAGGAGGGCAACTGGAGGGCCTTTCTGGGTCAGACCTGAGCTGGTTAGCATCGACCACCACTGACTACCACCCACCAGCAAACACTTAACTTGGGTGTGGGCCTACCTGGCGGAGTAGGTCACAGTTCCCACCAGTGAGAGTTGGGACAGGGGATGGGTAATGTTAGGCTGGGCAAAAATACCAGTCAGCACGTGGCAACCAGGTCGGGGAGCAGATTCTATGGGGAATATGTGTGCCCACCGCTGTGGAACTGCAATTTCCACTGGTTTGCTCAAGAGCTGGGGTAGTGAAGGGCTGAACTAGGCATGGCCATGGAACCCTCTGACACTCATGGTGTCATTGGGATTGGGAACAGACTGGTCTTGTTCAAGATGTAGCACCCAAGGGCGCATCCAAAAACGGGGTGTGGGTCAGGCTGGGCTGGAACAGAGGGAGCTGACTATGCTGAGTAAGGGCCTAGTATCCGCCAGCACATGTGGAATCCGGGTCTGAGAGTGAGCCCTTGGTGGGCCACAGCTCTGCTGCTGAGCATGTGGGAAGGCCTAGGGCAGGGTGGCAAGTGTGGGGGTCATGCTGGGCTTGGCTATCACACCTGCTGGTTTGCATGAACCAGGGATGGGAGCAGAATGGGCAGGGCTAGGCTGCAGCACCCATCAGCAAGAGTTGAGACTGGAGGCGGGTTGGAACAGGCCAGGCTGCAGCATCTGATGTCAAAGGCCAAGAAAGGGCATGGGCTATGCCCAGCTGTGTCAGAGGAACCACTGGCATGAATAAGATCTGTGCATGATTGGGGTGCTAAGGGGATGCCATGGCTGGGTTGTGGTTCCCACTGATGATGTGAGCTGGAATAGAGCAGTGATCTGGGCTAGACATGACTGCAGTGTCCCTCGGTACAAGTGTGAACTGGGTCTGGGGTGTGCCAGACTGGTTTAGATTCCAGCACCCACTGGTGCCTGTGAGAGCCGGGTGAGTGTAGGACGGGCTGGGCTAGGTCTCTGCCCTGAGGAACATGAGAGCTGTGTCTGGGTATAAACCAGGTGTGGCTGAGCTGAGCACCCAACCATAAGATCTGGAATGGGTGTGGGTCGGATGGGCAAGGCCACTGTTCCTGCCAAGACAGGAAGTAGACTAAGTCAGTTTAGACCAGGGATTCACAACAGTGTGTGTGATATCTGACACTTGGAGGAGACCCGATGGAGGAGCTTGGGGAACTCCTTTATCAGGACACAATTCGTGCAGGTGAGTGCAAGAACCAAAGTTGGGAGCAGTCCAGCCAGGCCAGTTATGGTACTCACTGGCACACGTGTGGGTCAGACTGGGCCAGTTCATGACACCCACTGGCAGATCTGAGAGCCAGAACAGGGTGCAGGAAAGGCTGGGTCAGGCTGCAACACCAACCAGTTCACCTGACTGGGGGCAGGTCAGGTCAGGCCAGGCTTCAGTGCAGCTGGCAAATACCAAGGTGAGGAGCCCAGCCAGACTGGGCTGCAGCACCCAACAGCACCCTTGGGGAGGGGTGAGGTGCAAACGTGCTGGGGGGGGGCAGAGCAGGCTCTCCTGTTGGGCTGCTGGTCCCACTGGCGTGCATAAGAACTGAAACTGGGGCACACCAGGCTGGGCAGGGCTGTAACACCTGCTGGTCTCCTTATGAATTGGGTTAGGATGAGAGCCAGGCTGGCCTAAACAACTCTACCTACTGGAGCAGGCATGAGCCAGTGTGGGTACAGGCTGGGTGGGCTTTGCTGCAGCCATCAGCTGGCAAGTGCTGAGCCTGGGGGCAATTCCTGTCAGCTACACTGCAGAACCACCTGAAGAGTACAAGAGTGGGCCCAGGAGGGACACTGGCCACCTCTCTGGTGGGCTGCAGCTCCCACTGGTGAGCGTGAGAACCAGGGCTGAGGGTGGACCTGGCTAGACAGGTGGTAGCACCCACAATCATGAGTATGGACTGGATAGCGGAGTCGGTTGGGTTGAACTAGGCTTCAAGGTCCATTGATATGTATGAGAGCTGAGTGGGATATGGGAGAGACGGGATCAGTCTGCTGCATACTCTGGCAAGCTCAGGAACGAGGGCTTGGGGTGGGCCTAATGGGCGTTTTGGTGGTTGCTCCAGCTAGTCTGCAGTTCCCACTGGTGTACGTGCGAGCCCAGTGTGTGGTGGGCTGGGCTGGGCTGGGCCGCAGCATGCATTGATTTACATAAGAGGTGGGGCTAGAGACAGAACTAAACCAGCAACTGCAGCTACCAGCGTGTGCACTGACTGGTGTGGGGGATGGGCTGAGCCAGACCCCATACTGGGAAGCACGCACAAGAGTCGGGTCTTGGATCACCTCCAATGAGGTTTCTTTGGGGATTCCCCCAACTGAACCACGGGACTCACAACTCCAACCATGGGGAAAATCACAGAATGTGTGGACTGACCGTGGAGAGCATGTGTCAGAAGTGGGCCTCCTGGGTGAGTAAGATGGAGCAGTGGACGGCATGCCCAGCTGCAGATGGACGCATGGCAATCCATGCAGAGGACATCTGGTTCCAAAGCAGAGGAAGGAGAGCAGGAGAAACTGGTCAGCTACCCCAGCCAAGCATTGGCAGCAGATACCTGAGGCAACAGATACTCAGGTGGACTGTGCCAGCCAACGGTCCTTAGAAGGATTTCCTCATTGTTGGATTGGTGAGATCGACAGTATTTCAGAACTATGGAAACCACTTTAGCAGAAGCCTCGGGGCATGCTACACACTGAGGACCCCGGAGTGACACTGGGTGGCCGATCCTCCACAAATATAGGAAGAATAAAAAGATAGTTTGTAAGCAGTGGTCTCACTCACCCACTTTCCTCTAGTTTTTGACCCTCCTACCCTAATCAACTGTGTAACATCATGAGAAATAAAATTAAAGAAAAAAATGGTTATAGAGATGGAGAGTCGTATCCACCATTTGTTGGGGGCATCTTCCACCTGCTGGTTCACTTCCCACATGGCTGCTATGTCCAGGGTGGAGGCAGTGTAAACTCAGGGGCCAGGAGACTCTGGGTCTGTTGTGATGGCTAAATTTGCTAATCCTCCCCTCCACTCCCAGGATCCCGTATGGGCACTGATTCCTGGTCGGCGTTCTGGCCGCCCTACTTCCCATCCAGCTCCCTGCTTATGGCCTGTGGAGGATGGCCCAAGGCCTTGCCACCTGCACCTGCATGGGAGACCTGGAAAAAGTTCCTAGCTTCAGGTCAACTCAGCTCCAGTTGTTGATGACCATTTGGGGAGTGAACCAATGTGTTTAAGAGCTTTCTTCTCTGTCTCTCCTTTTCTAAGCACATCTACTTTTCCAATAAAAATAATTAAATGAAAGAGCCAGGAGGTTCTAGGTCCCCTATAGTGGTGCAGAGGGCTTGGGCTCTCTTCTGCTTTCCAGTCCATTGGCAGGGAACTGGATCGGAGTGGAGCAGCTGGGACACAAGCCAGAGCACATTCAGGATGCTGGCACCACAGGCGGTGCCTTTTTTTTGATGTTGAATATGTTTATAATATTTGTGTCTTAATATTTTTGTTATCAGTGCTTTCTGAATAAAGAGAACTCCCATCTTGTGCCTCATTACCTCACAATGCCAGTCCTGGGCAGGCTGAACCAGGAACGGGACACTCGGCTTGGCTTTTCTGTGTGAAAGGCAGAGACCCAACTGTCAGCCTCTTGGGGTGCGGATCAGTAGAAAACTGGAATGGGACGGAACCAGGGCTTTTTTCCTCCCAGACGCCTCATACCCAGTGGCTTCTGGGCTGATTGGCCAAATACCTGCCTGGAGCAGATACGGGATGTGTCAAGCTGAGTTAGAAATAGCTGCTTGACCAGGGGTGTGCGGGAGTTTTGCTAAGCCCTCACTCTTAATGCTTGTCTTTGGTCCTCCTGCAGAGCCCGTGGGGCAGGTCACCATGTGGCAGCACTAGCGTGCACGGAGCTTCATGTCTGTGTTGGAAGATGGCAGAGGGAAACAACGAGGAGGTGATTCACCTGAACAACTTCCACTGCCATCGGGGACAAGGTGGGTGGCTCACTTGTTCTCACTTCTCTTTCCTGGTTCCTTTTATCTTTTAGTAGTGCTGCTATGTCATCTTGGAAATGACTCTATTTTGTGTCATTTGAAATCCAGAGATAGCTTATTTTTAGATTTTCGGGCACAAGTATAAAGGGAGGTGTGCGTGTCAGTGATGATGTGTTCTGGCCTGGAGGAAGTTGAAGTGAGGTGGTGTACCTGCTCTGTTGGCGTGTGATGCTTGGTCCCTGACTCGAGCTTCCTCCCTGGAAAGGCCAAGCCGAGGAGGCAGTGCTGCCGGTCCAGGCAGGCAGGGAGCCTGGGTTCCGAGGACCTGGGTTACATGTCTGCGTCTTGGCTTGGCCTGTCACCCTCTTCCGGCTGTTGCGGACAACTTGTCAGTGGGCCCAGCAGATGGACACTCTCTTGTTGCATCCTTGTCTCTCCCAGAACTAATTAAAAAAGACATGTCATAAATTAATCTTAACAACCATTAGGAAGAAGAGCCGTAGGATCTGAAGAGGTGGGGTTACAGGGAGTGGTGGCTGTGAAGGTACAGTCCGGACTTACTGGAGCTAAGACGCTGCTCAGTGACCCTGCCCTTTAGCATACTTGCTTCTGCTTCTTACTGCAAGGTTCTGGAATAGCCTATGGGAAATGTATGGTATTTAAAATTCTGGGAATTTTATTTGTTCATAAACAGAAGAATGCCTCAGATAATGTTGCAACACTGCAGGTTAAGCCACTGCCTGTGATGCAAGCAATCCCGAGGATGCTGGTTCTGGTTGTAGCTGCTCCACTGCGCCAGTTCCTGTTGATGTGCCCAGGAAGGCAGCAGCAGGTGGTCCAAGGGCCCAGGCCCCAGCCGTTCATGTGAGAGGCCCATAGAGTCCTTGACCCCTGGCTTCGGCCTGGCCCAGCCCTAGCTGTTGTAGCCATTTACAAAGGGAACCAGTGGATGGAAGCTGTCATATTTTTCTGTAATTCGTATCTGCCTTTCTGTAACATTCGTGGGTGTGTTTTAAATTTCCTGTAAAGGGGCCAGGGGCAGCATGGCCTAGCAACTAAAGTCCTCGCCTCGAACGCACCGAGATCCCATATAGGCACTGGTTCTAATCCTGGCAGCACCACTTCCCATCCAGCTCCCTGCTTGTGGCCTGGGAAAGCAGTCAAGGACGGCCCAAAGCCTTGGGACCCTGCACCCGTGTGGGAGACCCGGAAGAGAATCTGGGCTCCTGGCTTTGGATCTGTGCATAGCACCGGCCGTTGCGGTCTCTTGGGGAGTGAACCAGTAGACAGAAAATGTTTCTGTCTCTCCTCCTCTTTGTAACTCTGACTTTACAATAAAAATAAGTAAATCTTAAAAAAGATAAAAGGCTAAATATAGCTCCTTTAACTGCAACAATTCCTTGAAAAAAAAAAACTCTTAGCTATAACTTGTATATATGATCATTATTATTTCCAGAATTTATGTGTTAGATTTATATTGTGATTTTTACCTTTTAACTGGGCTTTAAATAGGTTTAAACTTCCGAAAAAGTATTTTTAAAACTATAGTGACCTTGTCAGAAGGATGACTACAAAGAAGTCTGTACTGAGATCCTTATCCTTGGGCTGGGTGAGTCGTGGCTTGTCACCTGGCTGCATGGCATAGAAGACGTCCAGAAGGCAGACTCCAGTCACGTCTCACTCAGGCCTTCGGCGGTCCCTGTGGGTTGCTGAGCTTTTCTGTGGTTCTGCAACGTCAGGGGCTTTCTGGTTGTCCCATCTGCTGACTGCGTGACTCAGATCCTGTTAATTAATAACTTGCTACTTGGGGCTGGCATGATGGCTCATTTGCTTAACCTCTGCCTGCACGTACCAGCATCCCATATGGACGCTGGTTTGTGTCGGGGCTGCCCCACTTCCCTCCCAGCTCCCATTTGGGGAAGGAACCAGCAGATAAAAGATATTTTTGTCTCTTTGAGACAGAGTAAATCTGCCTTTCCAATAAAAATATGGATTTTTTGGAAAGACCGATCAGATGTATGGAAGGAGAAACAGATCTTCCATCTGTTGGTTCACTCCCCAAGTGACCGCAACAGCCGGAGCTGAGCCGATCCGAAGCCAGGAGCCTGGAGCTGCTTCCAGGTGTCCCACGTGGGTGCAGGGTCCCCAGACTTTGGGCCGACCTTGACTGCTTTCCCAGACCACAGGCAGGGAGCTGGATGGGAAGTGCAGCAGCCCTGACAGCAAAGCAGTGTTGTGTGGGATCCCAGCACATGCAAGCTGAGGATTGAGCCAGTGAGCCAAGTTGGAAAAAAAAAAAGGAACTTGCCACTTGTACAGCTGATTGGAAGAATTGCTCTGAAGTCTTTTGCCTGCTGTCAGCTTTCTTCCTTGCTGTTCCTGTCCTTGAGGGTTATACCATTTCTTTCTAAGATTTATTTATTTTTATTGGAAAATCAGACATGCAGAGAAGAGACAGAGAGGAAGGCCTTCCGTCCGCTGATTCACTCCCCAAAGGCCTCAGTGGCCAGATATGTGCCGATCCATAGCCAGGTGCTTGGAGCTTCTTCTGGGCCTCCCACGCTAGTGCAGTGTCCCAAGGCTTTGGGCTGTCCTTGACTGCTTTTCCGGGCCACAGCAGGGAGCTAGATGGGAAGTGGGGCTGCTGGGACATGAACCGTTACCCATATGGGATCCCAGCATTCAAGGTGAGGACTTTAGCCACTGGGCTACCATGCCTGGCCCAGGAGTTATACTTTCAAGTCCTGCAGTGTGCTCCTGGTACAGAGCTGGTCATGATGCTCGGCTCTGGTTGGCCAGGGTTCATGGTGGATCTCCTAAGCCGCAGTTGAGCTGATTGTTACATTGGTCTACACCATTCATGCTCTTGCTTTCAATTTTGTGACTCTTGTAACAATATAGTATTTATTTCTGCCACCATGGATGATGTGTTTACTACTCAATTAAAATTTCCAGATGTCTCCTACATATGGGATGATGGGACACAATTTACACAATTTATACTAAAAGGTAGCTAGCTGACTTAAGGCAGCTTTGCAATGTGTCAGGTGCTATGTAATAAGCCAACATTTTGTGTGATATTTTTTTTTTCATTTGTTCTGCATGATGTTATCTTTTCTTTCTTTTTTTATTTGAAAATTATTTATTTTTATTAATTACATTGCATTATGTGGCAGTTTCATAAGCTCTGGGATTCCTCCAACCCTGTGATAATCCTTAAAATTGCGAATCTTGTTTTAATTTTGAGGAATTGTGTGCTTCAAGAAATTAGGTAATATATCTAGCAGCTAGCAGCTATTATTGTGCAAGTAATCCAATTTGTTAATCTTATTTCAGTGTTGAGGAGTATGCAGCAGGATAGTAGGTAAATCTCCAGCCGCAAGTGTGTGGGGGAGCTGATTTGAGCTCCTCCTGCAGTTGACCTTATGTCGTACAGGTGCACTGGTTTGTTTTTGTTTTGTTTTGTTTGGTTTTTTTAAGATTTATGTTATTTTTATGGCAAAATGAGATGTACAGAGAGGAGAGGAGAGAAAGATCTTCTGTCCGATGATTCACTCCACCAGCAAATGAGAATTAACTGAAAATATTGGTTTTGAGTGATTTTTCAAATTGTAGGGTGCTGAAAAGCATGTGCAACATTAGCCTTGGCAAGAAAATCAAAGCTTTAACGGAGAAATTGCAGCAATTGTGAAAATACTGTTTTCTTTCCTTCCCCCATCCCTTCATTTTAGGAAATCTTTTTTCTTCATTGTTCATTTTAGTCTTCAACATTTTTTTGCAGATAGCTTGGAAAAAAGTACATTTGTGGTGTTGTATTTTTGTTTCTAAAGATGTATTTTCTTTTATTGGAAAGACAGATATACAGGGAGGAGGAGAGACAGAGGGGAAGATCTTCCATCTGATGCTGCACTCCCCAAGCGACCACAATGGCCGGGGCTGTGCCAGTCTGAAGCCAGGGACTGGGAGCTTCCTCTAGGTCTCCCACATGGGTGCCTGGTCCCAAGGCTTTAACCATCCTCCACTGCTTTCCCAGACCACAGGCAGGGAGCTGGAAGAGAAGTGGTGCTGCCAGGATTAGAACTGGCACCCATATGGGATCCCGCGTGCGTTCAAGGTGAGGACTTGAGCTGCTAGGCCACCGTGCCAGGCCCTGCTGAATTAATTCTTAAAGTTTATGTTTAAAATGAGCAAGTTTTGGGCCCGGCGCGGTGGCGCAAGTGGTTAAAAGGTCCTCGCCTTGCACCCCCGGGATCCCATATGGGCGCCGGTTCTAATCCCGGCAGCCCCGCTTCCCTTCCAGCTCCCTGCCTGTGGCCTGGGAAAGCAGTCGAGGACGGCCCAAAGCTTTGGGAACCTGCACCCGTGTGGGAGACCCGGAAGAGGCTCCTGGCTTCGGATCGGCATAGTATCGGCTCGTTGCGCTCACTTGGGGAGTGAATCATCGGACGGAAGATCTTCCTCTCTGTCTCTCCTCTCTGTATATCCGCCTTTCCAATGAAAAAATAATAAAAATAAATCTTTAAAAAAAAAAAAATGAGCAAGTTTTAACATGTGAAATAATAAGAAGTGTAGTTAGTGTTATTTTCTCAGACCTAGCCTATTATTCTAGGAAATATCGTGGGAGGTAATGGTGTTTGATAAGGCAGATCTCTCAGCTGAGCTGGTTCACTCCCTAAGTGACCAAAATGGCTGGGGCAGGAGCAAGTGGAAGCCAGGAGCCTGGAACTCCATCTAGGTCTCCAGCATGGTGGCGGGAGCCCAAGCACTTGGGCTATTATTTGCTGGTTTCCCAGGCACATTACCTACCAAACTGCTGGATTGAAAGTGGAGCTGCTGGGCCCAGCACAATAGCATAGCCGCTAAAGTACTTAACTTGAACGTGCCAGGATCCCATGTGGGCGCCGGTTCTAAACCTGGTGGCACCACTTCCCATCCAGCTTTCTGCTTGTGGCCTGGGAAAGCAGTCGAGGACTGCCCAAAGTCTTGCGACTCTGCGCCCACATAGGAGACCTGGAAGAAGCTTCTAGCTTTGGATTGGCTCGGCACTGGCTGTTACAGCTGTTTGGGGAGTGAATTCTCATATGGAAGATCTTCCTCTCTGTCTCTGTTCCTCTGTGCATATCTGCCTTTCCAATAAAAAGAAATCTTTAAAAAAGAGAAGAAAGTGGATCTGCTGGGACTTGAACCTGGGACTCTTGGGCTGCATTGTAGGTGCCAGCTTAACTCTGCCCTGCAGTGCTGGCCCCTGGAAGCCAGGCTCTTGTAATGCTGAGTTAAGGTATTGGTTGCACCTCTTTATCCTTGTCCCTCTCAGGACTGGGAACTGGCTGATGGGTCTGGTCTCCCAGTGACCGTGTTCTTGCTCTCTGCCTTCTCGTAGACTGGATCAGCCTTCGCGATGGCCCCATCACCATCTCTGACTCCTCTGATGAGGAAGGGATGCCCACCCTGGCCACCCCAGCACCTCAGCGACAGGAAGAAGAGGACTTGGATGATGACGTCATCCTGACGGAAGTGAGTATCCCCAGATGCACTGCTTCTCAGGGGTCATTCTTGGCCCACTCCTGGGCTCCTGTTGGCGCTTTCTGTGTCCCGCCGTGTCCCGTGTCCCTTTGGCTTCAGAGGCTGTGCGGTCAGCCTTCGTGGAAGCCTGGGCACTGATGACCGCTCTTGTAATTACTGCATTGTCACGTGTCTTACTGTCGCACTAACTTAGCGCCCCTCACTTGCAGAACCATCCTGAATTCCCATGTGCTTATATTTTTGGGTGAATTTTACACTCAGCCTTTTTTAGTTTCAATTTATAGTCAGGAAAATAATGAATTTTTTTTTTTTAAGAAAAGATTTATTTGTTTTTATTGGAAAGGCAGATGTACAGAAAAGAGGGAGAGACAGAGAGGAAGATCTTCTGTCCGATGATTCACCCCCCAAGTGAGCGCAGTGGCCAGAGCTGAGCCAATCTGAAGCCAGGAGCTCTTCCAGGTCTCCCACACGGGTGCAGGGTCCCAAGGCCTTGGGCTGTCCTCGACTGCTTTCCCAGGCCACAGGCAGGGAGCTGGAAGGGAAGTGGAGCTGCCGGGATTAGAACCGGCACCCGTATGGGATCCCAGTGCATGTTTTAAGGTGAGGACCTTAACCGCTACACTATTGTGCTAGGCCCAATAATAATTCTATCTAGATCTCGGCAAATCTTGTTTCATATGAAACAGTTTATGATTTCGACTCTGAAAGTGAATTTTATGTTGTCTTCTTCCTTTCTCCCTCTCTCTTTTCTCTCTCTCCTTCCTTCACACCCTCCCTCCTTCTCACTTTCTTTCTTTAAGATTTGCTAGTTTGCTGATTTATTTGAAAGAGTGACAGAGAGATGGTGCATGCACTGGTTTACTCCCACAAATGGCGGCAGTGGCTGAGGTTGGGCCAGGTCCAAGCCGGGAGCAGGACCTGCATCCATGTTTCCATGTGGACGGCGCGGACCTGTGCACTCGGGCCATTGCTTGCTGCTTTCCTCGGTCTGTCGGCAGGGATGCTGTCTTTCATTACTGCTTTTATACTTTCTTACTCAGTTATGTTTTATTCTTTATGGTCACTTTTTCTAAAGATTTATTTATTTATTTATTTTTATTGTGAAGGCAGATATACAGAGAGGAGGAGGGACAGAGAGGAAGATCTTCTGTTTGATGATTCACTCCACAAGTGAGCGCAATGGCTGGTACTGTGCCGATCCGAAGCCAGGATCCAGATAACTCTCCCGGGTCTCCCATGCGGGTGCAGGGTCCCAGTTTTGGGCCGTCCTCGACTGCTTTCCCAGGCCACAAGCAGGGAGCTGGATGGGAAGTGGAGCTGCTGGGATTAGAACTGGCGCACTTATGGGAACATGGTGCATACAAGGCTAGGATTTAGCCACTAGGCTATTGTACCGGGCCCTGGAGGGCTTTTTAATATGTTCAATTTTTTTCCTGTTCAATCAGAAGCTAAATGTAAGTACATATGGCATAGACAGCTTTCAGTGTGATGATGAAAATTTCACTTTATCTTAGACAAAGAAACCTCAGACACCACGACCCAATCTCATCAAACCTGCTGCTCAGTGGCAAGACCTGAAAAGGTTGGGAGAAGAGAGGCCTGCGAAGTCGAGAGCAGCGTGTGAATCCGGGAAGAGCACCTGCTTCGCCGTGTGCCACAAGCCACCGTGTCTTCCCGGGAGACGGGAGCAGGCTGAGGGTGACTGTGGGGAGTTTCTGCGTCTCGGGCCTCCTGCGATGCCTGGGTTTGCTAAACCAAGAGGTCAGAGAGAACCTAGACCTGGACCAAGTCATAAGCAAGCGGCAAGGAACACGTTCAAGCCCAGATCAGATCAGAAGATCATTGTCTTGCAGGAGAACAGCCTTCTTTTCCCAGCAGGTGATCCTTTGCAAACTACAAACCAGTTATTGGAAGACTCTGAGCCAGACCTTTTATCAAATCTTGGAGAGTCGGCTGGTGTGGTCGACGATCAGATCATTGAAGAGGATTGCTGGCTGCACCACCCGTACCTCCAGTCTCTGCACCAGCAGCCCCTTGACATAACCAACCAGGTTGTTCCGCAGGAGCGACAGCGGGAGGCAGAGCTAGGCCTTCTGTTGTTCCAGCACGAACTCCCAGGGCCAGCTTTTCCAAGGCCAGAGCCCCAGCAGGACGGGATTCCGGGCCCTGCTTCCCCTCAGGCTGCCCATCCTCTGGGAGAACTTGAAGAGCAACAGTTAGCGATCGAAGATGAAGAGCCAGGGCCAGCCTTCCCACTGCGACGATCTCAGGACACCAATTTCAAAAATCCGTGGGGACAGGAAGCTGCTGAAGTGGATCAAGAACTTGTTGCACTACTAGTAAAAGAAACAGTAAGTTTTGTTTAAAATTATTCAGCTAGTTGCACTCTAAATGTGCTGATGGTTATGTGAATTCGTTTCCCTACACCCATATGTAGATGCAGAGTCGGAGAAGACACAGAAATGATGGCAGGATTCCTGCATTTTTCCTTAGCTCTCCAGGAAGCATTCTGGAGTTTTCTTTTTGATTTTTTTAATTTTTAAAATTTTTGTTTCTTGATGCAGTTTAATAGGCTGTGGGATTTTCCACCCCCCTCCCCAAGTTTCCTCCCCTCACTGTTGATTTCTCGTCTAGTTTTACAATGGGTGTCCTTCATGAGTAGTCACAAGTCCATCGTGCTGTTATGATGTGTTTCCCGACAGTGTGGGCACGGACAGTGTCAGAGTCCGGCATCGTCCTGTCAGGACATCTCTGGTCCACGCAGAGAGACGTGCTGCGCTCCTCTCCACACCTGAGCATGTCCGTCTCCGCTGCACTTCATTCTGCATCTCCTCAGCACACACCCAGCGAGTGCAGTCCACAGCAGGGAGGAAACTAGTCCGTTTTCATCAGCGTGAAGTTAGTGAACGTGCAACAAAAATCTCAGTGCTTTGCTAGAGTGATGAAAAAGAACATCAAAGACCTTGTAGGAATTCTGGAGTTTCTGTCCTTCCTGGCCTCCCCTTGGAGCCCTTGAGATCACTCCAAATTTTAACCTGTAAAGCAAGTGTTTGAATTACCAAGTCCTGTTCTACTCATTATAGCAGTCATTAGCTCCATGTGACAGATGACACTGATTACATGCAAATGTGCTGTGGTTGAGTGGAGTTAAGAATTCGTATGATTTTCAGTAATAGCATTCACATTTTTTTTTTAAGATTTATTTATTTTTGTTGTAAAGTCAGATTTATAGAGAGAAGCAGAGACACAGATCTTCCATTCAGTGGTTCACTCCCCAAGCAGCTGGAATGGCCAGAACTGAGCTGACCCAAAGCCAGGAGCCAGAAGCTTCCTCTGGGCCTCCCACACAGGTGCAGGGTCCCAAGGCTTTGAGCCATCCTCCACTGCTTTCCCAGGCCACAAGCAAGGAGCTGGATGGGAAGTGGGATGGCCGGGATTAGAACCGGCGCCCATATGGGATCCTGGTGCATCCAAGATGAAGACTTTAGCCACTGAGCCATCGCAGTGGGCCAGCAGCATTCACAGTTAACCTCAGGAGGGACCCTGGGGCTGATACCTTTCCTGTTAGAAAGGCCAAGGCAAAAACCTTCCCAAATCACCAAGGTCCTGTTAGCATTGATGAGAATAATGCATGCTTTAAGGCCAGATACTGTCAGTACCTAAGTATCGGCCCCGCCTCACCCAGGTTTCTTTTTTCTTGTTAAAAATTTTTAAAGTTTTCTTTTTAATATTGTTTACATAGTTGAAAGAGGCATGTCCATGTGGGCATCTGACTAGGGTGGGGAAGGTCAGGTATGGAGGAAAATGGGTGGGACAAAAATTTCAGGTGTTTTTTTTCCCCCTCTTTTGTGTCTGTAGCAGGGAGGTGGAGGGGGCTGCTTCTTGGTGTCAGACAAGGATGGGAGGCGGTCACTTGGTGACACTTAAGAGACCCCGATGTGCTTCTCTTAGTGACCCAGGCTATTACTGCAGTGCTTTTTTCTGTTTGCTTTTTTCATTTTTAAAAAATTATTATAGTCATTTTATGATACAGTTCCATGGGCACTGGGACTTCCCCTACCCCCACCCCAAATCTCCCCTCACACACACACATACACACACACACACACACGCACGCACGGTGAGTTCTCCCATATCATTACAACAGCATAGTTAGTCAGAAATAGTCATGAGTTTATCGTTGCAGGTGGAGTGCTTTTGATAGTTCTGAAAACTTACTGGTTTCATTGCTGCAGGGTTGAGAAAAATCTTCCCTAGGCCCGTTGGTTGACAAAGTCTAGTGCATCTGCAGATCCAGCAAGGAGTTGCAGAGCTTGGCTGGGAGAATTGTCCAGCCTTTTCTGTTTTCCATCCTCTGATGAGGCAATCAACAACCCACGCTTGCTTAGAAGAGCTTGCTGTCGTGTCCCCATGTGCGTCCTGGTACATTCACTCCAAGGACAGACCACGTAGCCTGTGGTTTTCTCTTGACCAGGATCTGCATCCAGCAGTCTAGCTGGGGAGTCTCCCAGGAAACCTCAACTGGGATGACCTCAGACTGGGTTCACATGTGCCAGCCGGTGCAGGGTCAGGCTTGGCCCTGCACCTGCTGGTTAGTGCTTCCACAGCCCCATCTCTCTCTTTTTTCAAAATAATAAATTTACTTAATCTTTGATGATGTTTACATAGTTGAGAAGGATGCATGCCCAAGTTGACCACTGACTATGATGGAAAAGAGTCCAGTTATTGGGAGGAAGTAGATGACAATTGTTTTTTCTTTTTTTTTTTAAGATTTATTTATTTATTGGAAAGTCAGATATACAGAGAGGAGGAGAGACTGAGAGGAAGATCTTCCGTCTGATGATTCACTCCCCAAGTGAGCACAATGGCCGATGCTATGCCGATCCGAAGCCAGGATCCAAGAACTTCTTCCGGGTCTCCCATGCGGGTGCAGGGTCCCAAGGCTTTGGGCCGTCCTCAACTGCTTTCCCAGGCCACAAGCAGGAAGCTGGATGGGAAGTGGAGCTGCCGGGATTAGAACCGGCGCCCATATGGGATCCTGGGGCATTGAAGGCGAGGACTTGAGCCGCTAGGCCATGCCGCCGGGGCCCAATGACAATTGTTAGCAATTTTTTTTCTTCCTGTGTCTGGGAGAGAGACAGGGAGAGGACTGCTCCTCGCAGCCTGACCGCATCAATACCTGGGGATGGGGACAGCCATTCCGTGTCGTCCCAGGGTTCCCGATGTGGAGCATGATTCATGGATATTGCTTAAGCAGTTTTTGCTTGTGATTTTGTTGCTCCAAGGTTGAAGAGATCCGTCCAGGGTCCACTAGGTGACACAGTCCACCTTAGTGTCTCCATTTGCCCGATACTTGCTGTCAAAGCTTTGCTGGGAGAACTGTCCCATCTTGTTCTGCCCTCCATGGTACTGGACATCCTCTGTAGGTCACAGTCATCTGTCATGTTCCCCACGTGCATCTGGGCATGCCATCCATTGCACAGGCTTCAGCAACTGGGACACATGCACCCAGACCACAGATCCTCTGATTTTCGCTAGGTTTGGAGTTTTGAGTCCAGAGGTCCAGTTGCCAGCCCCATATTTCATGAAAACTGACAAGTGCAGTGGGCCAGCTCAGCCAGCCTGCCACAGACCACATCCTCAGGGGTACCAGTAGCTCCCATGGCCTACTTGGGACCATTCCTAGTAACCCAAATCAGGCATGCCTCCAGCCCTGGTTTTTGTGCATGCGAGCCTCTGCTACAGCCTTGCCTGGCCGGGCCAGCTCCCAGCCCCAGCACTCACATGAACTGGGGAATCTCGTGGTCTAACCCAGCCTGGCCTGCATCCCATTTTGTCTCATTCTTCCTGGTATGTAATGTGGACCATCCCTGCCCAGCTCGGCCTGCTCATATCCCCAGCTCCTGACGCTCACCAGCTGGTGTTGTGGCCTGGCAGGAGAGTTCCTCAGATTCTCCTGTCAGGCCCACTCCCAGCAACGTATCATGTGTGCCAGGGGGTACTGTTGCCCAGGCTGATGTGACTGGTCCTGGCACTCACCAGCAGGTAATGTGGCCTAGCCTGACCCACATCCAGACCCAGCCCTCAGTTGATCCTGCGGGTGCTAGAGGATGCTGGGGCCTTGCCCAGTTTGGCCTGCTCCCAGATGCAGCCCACATGCAAGCTGATGGGTGCTGCAGCCCTGCCCTGGTGGCTGGAGCCCACAGGAGAGTCCCCAGATGTCAGACCTGCCTCTGCACATGCTGGTGGGTGCTGCAGCTTGGCCCTGCCTGGCCACCTCCTAGGTCGAGATCTCACACCTACTTCACATGGGAGACCTGGACTAAGCTCCTGGCTCCTGGCTCCTGACTTGCACTTGCCTGTTCTTGTATGTGATTATCTGGGGAGGGAACCAGTAGGTGGAACATTGTTCACACTCTCTATTAAAAAGGAGAAAGATTAGAAATATGAAATGGGGACAGAGACCCAAACAATCCTTGAAGCTTTCCAGACTATCCTAATTGTTAGCTTGTATCTTCCTTCCCATCTTAGTTTGCCGTTTGAAGCCATACTGAATGAAATATAAATAAATCATGTTGTGATTCTTTGCAGGAAGCAAGATTTCCAGATGTAGCAAATGGATATATTGAAGAAATAATTCATTTGAAGAATTATTATGATTTGAATGTGTAAGTAGATACTATATCTTTTTTTTTTTTTTTTTTGGTGGTAAAAAGATATGCTGAAATTTACCATTTTAGCAATGTTAAGGAATTTTTTAATTTGGTTAGAGATTGCTCATCTGTTGACTCCACAGGTGCTTGCTGCAGGTGGGGCCGGCTGTTGCTGTGAGTGGGGCGGTCAGGAGCTGGAGTGGGGTTGAATCCAAGTCCTCGGTGTAGGATATGCACATCCCAACACTGAGACAGAAGGCCCACACTGCTTTCTCACTTGATTAAGGAAGTTAGCGCCTGTTAGAGAGTTTAGGATTAGGAGACGTGGCTGTTTTGTCCTGGGTGTGCAGTGCTCAGCTCTGGCTGTCCGGTCTGGCCAAATGCCTCCCACCCTCCTGGAGATGTGGATCCGGTGGGACCAGCCTGAGGCTGCCTTGCTGGGGGTGGGGTAAGCCAGAGGCTGCCTCTTTGATACATTTTAGAAGATCAGGAAACAAGAAAGGTGAGCGCCAGGGCAGGGTTGTCAGGCATTCTGTCCGAACCCCCACAAATTCCCCTGCTTGACAGGAGGAAGGAGGCAGAGCCTGGTCTTGGAGGAGACCCCAACCAGACCTCCCCAGGGGCCCCCTGTTCTGCTTTGGCGGATTGTCTCTAATGGTGCCTCCGATTGGTCTTAGGCCTTCCAGACAGTTCTCAGTAATACTTGGAACACCCCAGATCATTGCATGTTTTCTTTTGACCCTCCCACTCTGCTTAGCTGGAACAGTTCCCCTTCTTGGTAGCCATGGCCTTCCCTGCAGGGCCACACTGTGTGTCTACCGTTGTCCCTGGGAAAGCTGTCTTTAAGCATCAGTGGTTCCACTGATAAATAAATCTTTAAAAATAAATCAAAAAGTAAAAATAAACAAAATTTTAAAAAATAAAAAAATGTTTTATTTTGGGATGTCTAATCAACATTGGAGCAACTGTAGATTTGAGAATCATTGAACTTAATTTTTAAAGCAGTTTTAAATAACAGCATAAATAAGCAAAGATAACTACACTTTTTTAAGATTTATTTATTTTTATTGCAAAGTTGGATATATAGAGAGGAGGAGAGACAGAGAGTAAGCTCTTCTGTCTGATGGTTCACTCCCAAGGCACCACAACGACTGGTGCTGCGCCAATCCAAAGCCAGGAGCCAGGAGCTCTTCTGGGTCTCCCATGCAGGGTCAGGGTCCCAACACTGCGCCGTCCTCGACTGCTTTCCCAGGGAGCTGGATGGGATGTGGGGCTGCCGGGATTAGAACCAATGTCCATATGGGATCTCGGCACACTCAAGGTGAGGGCTTAAGCTGCTAGGCCACCACACTGGGCCTGGCAGCTCTATTTTTACAGTGAATAATAACTCCTGAGTTGCAGTTAGCTAAGAAAGAAAGAGGGAGAGAGAAGGAAGGAAGGAAGGAAGAAAGGAAGGAAGAGAACTTTGTGTTATATGCTCATTTAGTTTTTGGAATGAGAAAATTTTTTTCTCATGAAGTAAACACAATTTTGGGGTGCCTTATTTGTGAAACTATCAAGTGAAAAATACTTTTTTTTTTCCTTCAAGGTACTAATGAGGGTGACCTTTACTAATAGCTATTTAACTTTCTCTCTGTTGAGTGTTTCGTTCATAATGTTGACTGAGTGTTAATGAACCTTCTATGTGTAGCACTATTTGTTATTTAGCAGATCATGAGAATCTAAAATCTATAAATTTGCAGTCAAAGTTTATGAATACATTGATGGTTCTTGAAGCTTTATCCCAACAGTAAGTAGTTTCCATTAAGGTCTGCCGGTTAATACTGCGGCTGAGGATGTGCATGAGTCACTTTAACAGTTCTTCACCGATTGGAGTGATGATGGCATTACAGGACTTTGGTTTGGTTTTAAAGATTCATTGATTTTTATTGGAAAGTCAAATTCACTGAGAAAAGGATATGCAAAGAGAAAATATTTTGTCAGGTGACTACAATGGCCGGAGCTGAGCCAGTCGGAAGCCAGGAACTTCCTCTGGGTCTCCTACGCGTTTGCAGGGTGCCAAGATTTTGGGCTGCTCTCAACTGTTTTCCCAGGCCAGCAGGGAGCTGGATGGGAAGCGGAGCTACTGGGACACGAACTGGTGCCCATGTGGGATGCTGGTGCTTGCAAGGCGAAGATTCAGCCACCAGGCCGTTGTTCCGAGCCCAGGCGTTATTTTTTGCTGTTGCTAAGTGGGCCTGCTGTTTAGGTTGCATTTCCATGGTAATTGGCTGTGTAGCATGTTACATTATTTGTTAATTCATTATATTCCTCTCTAATGTGAAAGTGTGAATTGCTTCTCATTGAATCCCTTTTTTTTTTTAATGTTTTTCTGGTTGTGAAATGTGGTGCTTGTACATTTAATTAAAGAACAGTGATTCAAATGAGAAATACCAAGTTTGAATATTTGAAACATTTGTGGTAGATACTAACATCATAGAAATGTAATGTACATGTTTGCTGCTCCTACAAATCAGCATCCTATTAAAAGATTGTCGGGTTCAGCAGTGTGGCAAATATGTCGGCATGCCGTCTGCTGTGCTGGCATCCTGTGTGGGTGCTGGTTCAAGACTTGGGTGCTCTGGGCCTGGCGCGATAGCGTAGTGGTTTAAGTCCTTGCCTTGCACGTCTTGCACGCGCTGGGGTCCCGTATGGGCGCCGGTTCTAATGCACTTCCCGTCCAGCTCCCTGCTTGTGGCCTGGCAAGGCAGTCAAGGACGGCCCAATGCTTTGGGATCCTGCACCGGTGTTCCTGGCTCCTGGCCCTGGATCGGCACAGCACCAGCCGTTGTAGTCACTTGGGGAGTGAATCATCGGATGGAAGACCTTCCTCTCTGTCTCTCCTCCTCTCTATATATCTACCTTTCCAATAACAATTTAAAAATAAAAAAATTTTAAAAAATTAAAAAAAGACTTGGGTGCTCTATTTCTGATCAGCTCCTGTTCGTAGGCTGATAAAGCAGCAATGAGCCAGGTGCTGGGATTCCTGTTCCCTCGCCGGAGACTGGTATAGCCTGTGCTGCTGGCAGCCATGTGGGAGTAAGCCAGGAAATGGAAGCACTTTTCTTTGTAACTCTGCCTTTTAAATGAGTAATGGAGAAAAGGATATGCAAAGAGAATGATTGGTTTTTCAAATTCAGAATTAATTGTTGGTAAATTTTATAATCAAACTGGTAGATTCAGGTTCCATCCTGCCCTGTCTTACGCATGTTCTTGTTTTTAGGCGCTTGTTGCCCTGTTGTCATTCCAGAGTGAACACTGGTCTTTAAGCACGTAAAGGTTCCTGCAGAAGCTGGAAGGCCAGGGGCTGCCCAGTAGTGGTGCTTGTGTCTGGTCTTCCTGACACTGCATTCCTTGCTGTCAGCCCTGGGCTCCTGGGACAGTGTCAGTCCCTCAGCGAAGGTGAACGTGGCTTATGTAGACCACGAATAAAGCTGAGTTGATTTTAGCAGGCTGAGTTTTGGGGTTCCATGTAGGGCTCCTGCATGAGTAGCAGGAGCTCTTAGTGCTTGGCTGTCTGCTGCTCTTCCGGTACATCAGCAGGAGGCTTGACTAGAAGCAGAAGAGCTGGGACTTGAACAGACAAATGACAGGGGGCACCACCACATCTCCCTTGGGAATGTTTGCTGTTTGTTTTTTGAATATTTGAAAGGAGGAGTTGTAGAGACAGATACCTTACCTCTGCTGGTTGGCTCCCCAAATGGCTACAAGAGCTAGGACTTCCCAGGCTGAAGGCCAGGGTCCTAGAACTCCATCTGGGTCTCCCACATGGCAGGGGCCCAAGCACTTGGGCCGTCCTCCGCCGTTTTCCCAGGTGTGTTAGCCGAGCTGGATCGGCAGCAGAGAGGACAGGGCTCAAGCTGGCGCTAACAGAATGCCAGTAGGGGATGACTCAATGGCTAAATCCTCCCCTTGCAGGTGCCAGGTTCCCACATAGAGCCGGTTCATTTCCTGGCTGCTTTTCTTCCCATCCAGCTCTCTGCCTGTGGCCTGGGAAAGCAGTGGAGGACAGCCCAAAGCCCTGGGACCCTGCACCCGCGTGGGAGACCTGGAGAAAGATCCTGGCTCCTGGCTTCAATCAGATCAGTAGACTCTGACTGCTGCAGCCATTTGGGAAGCAAATCAGTGAATAGAAGATCTTTCTCTTTGTCTCTCCTCTGTGTAAATCTGATCTGCGTTTCCAATAAAAATAAATCTTTAAAAGAACAAAACTAAAGTGACAGGTGAGATAAAGCATGAGATGATAGGAACCAGTGGTCAGAGGTGAATCTGCCAGGCTTCCCCACTTCTGGCCCAAGTGCAAATCCTAGTGCAGGAGCCCCAGCCTGTTCCTGGAGAACAGTTGTCCGTGCCACTGAGTGTCACTCAGCTCCCAGGAAAGTTCTGGGTACAGAAGGAATTAAACTAACGTCCGCGGTTGCAGGTGAGAGCATTTCTCTGTCAGCTGAGGCCCAGATTGACGATCTGGCAACTTAGCATCCACATGGCCTGGATATCGGTTTGTGCGTCTTACCCTGTATAGCATTATCTTTGAAGTTTTTCTGAATAATAGTTACAGAGAGAGAGGGCCAGGCACTGTAGTCTAGTGGCTAAATCCTTGCCTTGCATCCTCCTGGTTTGTGTGTTGGCTGCTCCACTTCCCATCCAGCTCCCTGCTTGTGGGAAAGCAGTCAAGGACGACCCAAAGCCTGGGGACCCTGCATCTGTGTGGGAGACCTGGAAGAAGCTCCTGAGTCCTGGTTTTAGAATCAGCTCAGCTCCAGCTGTTGCGGTCACTTGAGGAGTAAAGCAGTGGATGGAAGATCTTTGTCCCTGCCTCTCCTCTCTGCAAATCTACCTTTCCAATTAAAAAATCTTGAAAAAAATTACAGAAAGACAATAGTGTGTGTAATGGGTGTGAGTAGAGTCTTTCTAAGGAAATAGAAAATTGGTCTTAAAAGTAGCTAAATGAACTTGACCTAATTAATGGCTCATAAACATTTATTATCATAGAGGTAAAGTGCTAATGAATTAGCACAAAGTTTCTTGTAATTACTGTCTTTGCAAATTATTTTTAAGTGCAAACATATACTCTTTCTTGCTTATTGTTTCCTTGACAATAGCTAGTTCGTTAGTCTTCGGTCTGTGAGGTGTGTTCGGAATTTCAGTGACTTGAGTGTATCACAGCCAGCTAGTACATAAACTTCACGGGTGTTCGCGTGAACTGGCATGTTTATTGCTTCTTAAACTGATTGGTAATAGATTCAATATGATTCCTCATTTGCTGATTTAGTTTTCTGCAGACATCTTAATTCTTTGTAGTCCTTTTCAAACACTACGTTTGTGTCAGTGGGCAGGTGGGAGATGTGGAGCCAGTGTGAGAGTAACGTCATTTGTGTTTGCAGACTTTGCAATTTTCTGCTGGAAAATCCAGATTATCCAAAGAGAGAAGATCGAGTCATTGTGAATCCCAGCAGCAGCCTGCTTGCCAGCCCGGATGAGACAAAGGCGAGTGTTGTTCTCTGTGTTGCTGTTTCTGGAAGCCCTTTGCTGTGTTCCTCACCGCGTCGGCAGACACGCTGGTGAAGACTGCTGGCGGAAGCCTGGGTTTCGGGATAAATCGTGCCTCACTGGGATCGAATTCAAGCCAATTTGAACTGTGTATTTATTTAACTTCTATCTTTTGTGATGTTACTATTCTTCCACAAATAATTAATTTTAAGATTTCGTATTTTTATTGCAAATTGCTGAAGCAAGTTCCTAAAATGAAACAGATTGGGTGCAATTCTTTGTCATGTTAGTTTCTTAGGTTTATTTAGTCGTTTCATGATGAAAGTTTCGTAGCACACAGAGAAGTTGATGTGTTTCACATCAGTCACCTATTTACCTTCCACCAGTGTGGCTGTAAGATGAACATTTTACAGAGTAAGCTTTATTTTATGTCTTTCCTCTGTTCTTTGGATAAGCACCATCTTTTTTGTGTTTGCTTTGTTAGCCTATTTGCAAGTTAGTTGTAACACTTAAATATGCCTCCCTGGGCGACATTCGTTGTGTGTGTCGTCGCTTGGAGTTTATTGTTTGTGGCATACAGTGTATATAACTGTTCAACCAAATCCCTGAGAATGGAGTTCAAGTCCCCACATACCCTTACTCGTTTGTTAGATTTTAGAGTTGCTGATGTGCAGTCTGCAGGCAGGTTGTTGAGCCCCTGCACCTCTCACATTTTGCAGCTAAATAACTTCCTATAGGGCAATTACAAGAATAAACGAGATGATTGTTTTTGGTAATCTCTGTCTCACAGCGATTCCTGCCCACCCGGCGGGAATGCTTTGTCTTCTAATCCTTATGTGCTTCTGCCATTTCAGCTGCCTAAAGTGGACTTTTTTGACTATTCCAAATTGGTTCCTCTTGACCAGCGCTGCTTCATCCAAGCTGCCGACCTGCTGATGGCTGACTTCAAGATGCTCAGCAGTCAGGACATCAAGTGGGCCCTGCACGAGCTCAAGGGACACTATGCAATCACCCGCAAGGTGCTCAGCTTCGCTCTCCTTGGGGAGTGGGATCCTGTGATCGCAGAATGAAGAGCTCAGCTTCTGGAAGTTAATGTACTTATGATGGCAAAGAGCTGAAAGAAGTTTGTCAGGGTGGAGTTTAGTAGACAGAAGTGTTTGCCGATTAGGAAGCACTGCAAAGAAATGATAGGGACCAGCATTGTGGCACGGCAGGCTGAGGTGCTGCCTGCAGTGTAGCATCTTGTATTGCAGCTCCAGCTCTGATCCAGCTCCCTAGACATGTCTAGAAAAGCAGTGGACGATGGCCTGAGGTGGTGCCCTGTGGCCCATGTAGGAGACCTGCACTGAGCTCCAGGCTCCTGTGTCTGACCTGGACCAGACCCAGCCCTTGCCCCTGCCTGTCATTTGGGGAGTGAAGCAGCAGATAAAAGGGTGATATCCCTGCCCCTCCCCCTATCCCTTTTGGTCTGGAGGGCAGTAGCTACCATGGAATGTAGGATGATGAGAGAACAGACACAGTGCAGTCCTGCTCCATACCACCTGGCTGATGGGTCCTGTAGACATCTGCCAGTGGCCCAGTTGACAAGTTCCCTGGATCCAGGAACACAGCAGTGTCCAGGGCTGGTGGCTTGCCTCAGAGGAGTGAAGGGCAAGTGTTTTCCCTGCTAGGGCCTGGTAAGGTACCGTGGTACGGCCTCCACTCCAAAATTTGTGGGTCCTAGTTACTGAGGTAACGTGGAGGTGCTCATTTAGTGAGTTACCTGATGGGTCCAGCTCACTGGAGGGAGCCCTGATGGACTCTTCTTGGCCCCCCTTGCTGCCACTGACCCTGACTCCTGCTGGAGTTCTGTGATTCTTAGCAAATACTAACCAAAAGACCAGTAAGCCTGAACTTATCGCAGTGATGGCTTGGGTTGGTCAGTCCTGATTGCAGGTTAATCTCGGGTCAAACCCCTCTGAAGGGAGCCATCACTGCCATCCCTGAGTCTTCGCTCCCACTGCTGTGTAACGGAACAGCAGGGCTGAAGGGGCTGTCCCTCTGCTTCCTCAGCCCCTTTCTTGGGGAGGGGCTGCAGGGGAAAGGGCTCCTGTGGTCTCGCGCCTTGGGGCCCATCCTGGGGCCAGTGGCATAAAGTGCACTAGCTGTGCCTGTTCCCTCCCAGCCCCTACCTGCAGAAAAGAACAAACAGTGGCCAGCCCCGGAGGAGCTGGTCCTTCCACTGCCCACTGGCTGGAGGGGTGCTTGCGCTTGTGCTGTGTGGCAGCTTTCCTGTTAGCCTTCCCTGGTTGGCAGGCAGCTCTGAGGAAGCTGCATCTTAAGTGGCTTTATTTAGGTGATCTGGGAAACGCTCTGGAAGAATTACTCCTTGTCCTTGTGTATTTATTCCTCACTTGCTGTTTCTGTTGCCGCTGGTGTTAGAATCTTGTTTGTTTTGTTGGGGAGTGTGGGAATTTACATGGGTTTTGAAATGGGGTGGATAAGAGCTGTTGTAATTAAAGAAGAATATTTAAGAGGAAGTCCTCTGCGGTAAAAACTAAATTTTGCACCCAGTTAGGACTTGGAGCTTCTGCTTGTTATCTGCAGGAAGTGCCGAGTCATGTCTTCTGGAAGGTGGCTGTTGTAGATCGGGCCACAGCAGTCTGCCTCACGGATTTCTCGATTATATGAATAGTATAGCTTTTTTTTAACCACCTGCTCAGGGAAGTCGGTTGAGAGTGAGTGATGCATATCTGGAGTTTCCCGCTTCTCCCACTCTGCCCTACTTAGAGACATAGAAGGGCTGGGGCTGCCGTGGTAGTAACACGTTAATCCTCCTCCTGGCGCCACTGGCGTCCCATAGAGGCACCGGTTCACGTCCTGACCACTCTACTTATGGCCTGGGAAAGCAGCAGGGGATGGCATAAATCCTTGGGTCTCTCCACCCATGTGGGAGAAGCTCCTGGCTCCCAGCCTCAGGCTAGCCCAGCTTTGGCCAATGTAGCCATTTAGGGAGTGAGCCAGCAGATGGAAGATCTCTCTCTGTCTCTTTTCAAGTCAAGTAAGAAATCTTGATAGATAAATAGATAAGGGGTAGATTGTATTGTAATCAGCCATCACTTGGCTTTGGTAAAGGCCAGCTCATACTCAGTCTTCTTTCATTTCTGTCTTTGCCCATTTTTTTCCTCCCAGTTTTGTTTTGTTTTTGTTTTTTAAGATTTTTTTTTTTTTAATTGCAAAGTCAGGTATACAGAGAGGAGGAGAGACAAAGAGGAGGATCTTCCGTCCGATAATTCTCTCCCCAAGTGACCGCAACGGCTGGAGTGAGCCAGTCTGAAGTCAGGAGCCAGGAGCCTGTTCCTGTCTCCCACACAGGTGCAGGGTCCCAAAGCCTTGGGTCTTTCTTGACTGCTTTCCCAGGCCACAGGCAGGGAGCTGGATGGGAAGCAGGGCTACCAGGATTAGAACCGGCGTCCATATGGGATCCCGGTGCATTCAAGGCAAAGACTTTAGCCACTAGGCCATCGTGTCGGGCCTCCTTGCCAGTTTTGAAGCAAATTGCAAGCATGTAGTTTTTTCCGTCAAAACTAACTTCAGTGACTAGCCTTAAAAGATGAATGCTCAGGCCCAGCGCAAGGCAGGGACCTTAACCACTAGGCTATCACACCGGGCCCTATTACAGTTGTTATTTGAATTTCTTAAAATCGATGGGTTCCCTCGTCTTTCCATTTTACATTTATTTGTAGCTTATTTGCTTAAAACAAAAGTTGTTTTTCTATAGGTTTGAATAGTCTGCATTTCATTGGCTGCATCCCCATAGTGGTGTTAGCTAGTTACTGTGTTCTAGAATCTTGGTCAGAGAGAGAGGCATTTACTGGTTCACTGTCCAGATGGGCCCAGCAGCCAGGCCTGCGGGAAGGAGGAGGCAGGAGCCTGGAGCTCCGTCCTGGCGTCAGCCTGGGCCGTCCTGTGCGTTGGGAAGGTTGCGGGGAGGGCACTGCAGTCATGGGCTCTGGCTTTCCCCACTCTGCCACTCTGCCACCGCCACTGCTAAGTGTCTTTAATGACCAGCTTCTGACCTGGAGGGAGAAAGTAAAACTGTGAAGTTCAGAGGAAAAGTACTTCTCAAAATAGTGTATTTACCAAAGTAATTAATTTCCAGAGTTTGAAAATCAAGTAGCGCCAAAGTGGCTATAATATTTTCAGTGGCAGGCTGGTGTTCTCTGCTGTCCCGAGGCAGCTCTGAACTCTGCTCCTTCTGCTGCTCACGCCCGTATCAGTGAGCAGCACCTCTGCTTGGTTCATGGACCCTGGAGGGGTAAACGCACCCTCCCTGCAGTACACTCAGCTTAACAAAGCTTGTCTCCACACTTTGATGTGTATGGCGGTCGAACTGGTCGCTGCTAAGGCAAGCAGTACGTGTCATAATGTTTTGTTCAGTTTTATGTTACTCCTGGAATTGAAATTAACTGATTAAGTTTGTTTTGTTTTTTCATTTGGATTGGTTTCTTACTGTTTTGATTTGGATTTTTGGCTGTAGCTAGGTGTTGCCACACCTGACAGCTGAAACACAGGTCTTTGTGTTGTCAGAACTTTCAGCTCAGCCCTCGGGTCCTCCCCCAAAGCACGCCTTCTTCCAGAACCCTGGTTGTGTGCACTGTGTACGCTGCGTGACTGTCACCCTGAAACCTGCCCCACCTCCAGCGTGGCAACTTCTGTGCCTTTCTCCTGCCTTTCTTCCTCGAGCTGAGATCTGGCGACTTTCCTTTCTTGGGGTTTTTGTTTGTTTGTTTAATTTTTTGTTTTAGTTTCAGTGTTGTTTACCAGGTGAGAGGGATAAATGCCCTTGTGGCCTCTGGTTAGGGAGGAGGGTCAGGGCATGGAGAAAGGAAAGTGGGATAAAATTTTGCTCTTTTTCTCCCATATGTTTTGGTTTTCATACTTGTGCTTTACTGATTATTCCACAGGGTTGAACATTTTCCATCCTGAGGGTTTTGTTTTTGTTGGTCTTTCTCTTCTTTCTTATCTTTTTTTTTTTTTTTTTTTGAACATCCAAGGTACAAAAAGAGAAAGGCAGAGACAGATCTTCAGTCTGCTGATTTACTCTGCCAATGGCTGCGGTGGCCAGGCCCAGAGCAGGTCAAACCAGGAGCCTGGGGGAGCTCTGTGGTGTTGCCCACATTGGTGGCGGGCGCCCAGGCACGAGGACCATTTTCTGCTGTCATTCTAGACTGAGCAGGGAGCCAGTACATGTCCTGTCAGGCTGAGTCGCTGCTGAGTGTTGGACCAGTGTTAGACGCAGGCCGAGGGACAGGGTGTGGGTATGCAGAAGAACCGGTTTGGTCAGCCTGTTAGGCCAGCCTGCATGGTCCTCATTGCTGACAAGTTTGGGATTGTTGCGTTTTGGAGAGGTATTTGTTGCCTTCGCTTGGTTGACTGGAGCAGGCAGGCTTATCTTTCCCGTGCACGTGGGTTTGCGCAAGCGTTCACAGAGGCCATGGCCCACATGCACCTCTGAGTGCCCAGGTCGAGCCCACACCCATGGGTGTCATTCCTGAGATCGGAGATCGCCAGGTCACCGGTGAAGCTCCGCGGGTCCTTTCTTCAGCTTGATATAGAAATAAGACGCTGGGAAGCAAGTGCAGGCCTAACGATCTTCATCCAGAACCCAGCGATAGGAAAGCACTGGCCCACGAAGGAGGCAGGTGTCCACCGGACGCTGGCTTCAGGGGAGACGGCTCTGGCTTCTCAAGGCTTTGTTGTTTTGCTGTGTTTTTTTCTCGGAGTCATGAAGCTAGAGGGGCAGAGGGGAACCAGGTGTGTGTGCTGATAGAGAGGTCTTGAATGAGGCTATTCACACTGCTGCTGGTCCTGTTCTGGGAGCGTGGCCTGCACCCTCCCACCCCCTAGGTCTGGGCAGAGAAGCAGAGGGAAGCTCCCCTGGCCCTGGCTGTCTTGGCAGTCCCAGGTGTTGTTTTGTGTTAGACGGTCTATCTAGTGCAGGGCAGCAGTGAACTGTGGCAGAGGGGTCCAGGAAGTGGGCACCCCTCCCCTCTTCCAGCCTCACCTGAGGCATCCAAAGCCATCAGGATGTGACAACATGCCACCCACCAGTGTCACATACCATCAAGGGATGGAGAGCGAAATCTGATAAAGGCTGGGGTTCCTAGAAGGCTCAGATGAGCTTCCTCTGGGACTTGGGGGACCCAGGCAGCAGCACCTCTGAATGCCTGTCTGCATGGCAACCCCTGCCAGTGTAGGTGCTTCCCAGGCCAGGCTGCCCACCAAGTGGCCAGCTGATCAGGACCCCTGCCTGTGTGCGACTGCCCTGAGGACAGCTGTCCTGGCGCTGTGTGCAGGCACAGGTGCCTCCTGCCCTCGCCCAGAAGGAGGCCTCATGCTTTTTCTTTTGTTGTCTGCTGTGCCTAGATTCTTCCAGCTGGGCTTCATGACTGCTTGCTGTTAGGTAAAGCACTGGACTCTGCAGATGTCAGCACCAACCAACACAGAAAGCGCTTTCTTAGGGAAGATCTTGCAGGGCTCGGTCAGGGAGTGGGAGTAAGAGTGGTTGAAGCAGTTTTCCAAAAGCAGGTGGAGAAAGCTATTGGGAGCACTGAGAAAGAAATGAAGATGTTACTTAAGTAGTCTTGAAGGAGAGATTTTTTTTTTAAGCCAGTGAAATGATATGTACAAAGGCTAAGGGCAAGAAAACGTGGCCATGTGCCTGCAGGGTGTGTAGATTAGTAGCTGTCACAAGGAGGAGTGATTATTAAAGCAAGATTTTGGAGGGGTGCAACACTGAGACACTAGGGATTGCTCCTGCAGGCTGGCATCTCATGTGAGTGCTGCTTCAAGTCCCAGCTGAGAATGATGAGCCAAGCGCTTGTACGGCTGGCAGCCACATGGAGAAGTGCTCGGGAGCCCTGGCTCCTGGCTTCAGCCAGGCCCAGTCCTGGCTAGTGATGGACTCTTCTCTCTCCCTATCTCTGTAACACTTTTAAATGTGTAAATTTTTATCGTTTATATTTTAAGGATTGTGTTTTGTTTTTACTTGGAAAAGTTACGAAGAGAGAAATATCTTCCATCCACTGGTTTGTTCCCCAAGTGGCTGCAGTGGCCAGAGCTGAGCTGATCTGGAGCCAGGAGCTTCTTCTGATCCTCCCTCATGGGTGCAGGGTCCAAGGACTTGAACCATTCTTTGCTGCTTTCCCAGGCCATAAGCATGAGTTGGATTGGAAGTGGAGCATCCAAGACTTTAACCATTGCCCATATGGGATGGTGGCACGGAAGGCAGAGGCTTAGCTAACTATGCTATGGTGTTGTCCTGAATAAATATTTTAAAAATTATTTTTGAGGTTCTTTTAGTGTATTCTTGACCTTTAAAAATTATTTGTTTTTTTTTTAATTTACTTATTTGTTTATTTGAAAAATAAATTGATGGCTTACTCCTCAGATGGCTGCAGTGGCTTGGGCTGTTACAGAAAGATAGGAGCCCAGAATCCTGTCCTGATCTGCCATGAGGGTAGCAGGACCAAGGGTTTGGTTCATCTTCTGCTGCTTTCCTGGGTACATTAGCAGGAAACTGGAGCGGAAGTTGAGCGGCTGAGAGTGGTGCTGGTGTCCCAATATGCCATGTCAGTATGGACAGTGGTGGTGTGACCCACTGTAGCATGGCACTGGCACCCATAGACTGTTTTTTTATTGCAAAGTCAGATATACAGAGAGGAGGAGAGACAGAGAGAAGGAGAGAAAGATCTTCTCTCCGATGATTCACTCCCCAAGTGAGCACAACGGCCGGTGCTATGCCGATCCAAAGCCGGGATCCAGGAACTTCTTCCGGGTCTCCCACACGGGTGCAGGGTCCCAAGGTTTTGGGCCGTCCTCGACTGCTTTCCCAGGCCACAAGCAGGGAGCTGGATGGGAAGTGGAGCTGCCGGGATTAGAACCAGCGCCCATATGGGATCCCGGTGCGTTCAAGATGAGGACTTTAGCCACTAGGCTACCGTGCCGCCAGGCCCACCCATAGACATTTTAAAGATACAGTTTTCTGACAAGTACTAATTGATGTTCATATCATGCAGGACTCCCCTGCTATTTAGAAAGAATATTTGGATGAGGTGGTGCTGTCCCCTTCAGTTTGTCTTCAGGAGCCGCTCTGTGCCTCCATGGCTGGAAAGAAGGAGGACAGGCAGGCAGGAGTGCCAGGTTCACCTTCTGGCCTGCTGCTGGCTGCTGTGTGGGACCCATTCTTCTGTGACCTCACTGCTAAAGTTGAGCATTTGCCCCGCTTCCTTGCCTGGTTTTTGTTAACAGCCCTAACTCAAGATTGGAATGTTCATCTTGGGCAAAACTTAGTAGCCTTGTAGCTTATAAAAAGTGTGTTTTTAAGGTTGATGTCCGAGGAGTTGTAAGGAATAGCATCAGTGGTGGGAATTCCACAGGAGGAAGCAAGAAATCACGTTCTGGTGGCCAGAGAAGGCGTCAGAAAGGGGTGGGTCGATCGTGCAGACCGTGGTCTTCCCTTGTACGGAAACACACTTTCTGCTTCACCAGAGGGGCTGTTAGGGTAACTGCATTACGTACTGGGAACTTGCAGGTGTCAGCTATAACCACGTGTTCTCCAAGTCAATGTTGACTGTGTTGCTAGGGGGACACCGAAATGGGGGCACAGTTCTGGTGCCACAGGGACTCGGACTCAGTCTAGTGGAGGAAATGTTGTGAAACAGACAAGTAAGCTGGTCACTCTGCCTGTGGAGAGAGAAGCTTCAGGATTCTTTGGGAAAGGTCTGCTAGGAGGCCCAGACGGCCAAGTCCCAGAGGTCCAGGGGCTCTCAGGAGCCCTCCCTGAGCACGTGGCACGTGATCACAGGTGTAACCGGGAGTTGATGGCTCACAGAAGGAGCGTGAACTCATTATGGGATGTATTCACTGCTAAAATGCTGACGAGAGCCTGTGGGGCATCCGGTAATGAATGAATCAACTGGGCTGCTGAACAGGCATGAAAGGGTTTCTGTGGCCTGGAGGTAAGGTCTTGAGAGTCATGAGTCTCCTGACCCTGTTCGGGGTGCGTAGAGAGGAGGTCAGGTGACAATCCCCGTGAGGGGCATGGAGCAGGAAGAGGCCAGCAGAGGCGAGGTCAGGAGACAGGCTCGATCATGCTTCGTAGTACTACCCGGGGAAGGAACACTTGGCACAGCGGGGAGGACGTTGCTAGGAGAGCTGGCATCCATCCTGGGTGGCAATCCAAGCTCAGCTTCCGATTCCAGCTTCGTGCTCGCGGGTACCCAGGACCGAAGGCAGGCAGCCGAGGGTGGAAGGTGTGGGAGAAAGGGAGTCTCGTTAGCATGAGAACGTTCGATTCCAGAGCACAGTGAAGTGGTGTCAAGGAAGAGGACGGTGAGTGGGCAGTGAGGCTATTGGAGAAGAGCACCAGTGTTTGCTGGAGAAACAGCAGGCAGGCCGGGGACACAACTTGCCCTGCGTGCCATGTGACATAACTGATGCCCTGTAAGGACAGCTGCAGCAGCTTGGTTTCCCCGGTCACCCTTTAATATGTGGGTGAATATTCTGGTTCTGATGCAAGGCTGCGTGTGTGTGTCCACCCCTGATGGCGTGACGCCGTGGGGAGCCTTGGCTGAGATGAGATGTCCGGCTGCAGTCTGCCAGTTGCGACTGTTTCACATATTCTTGTTCTCTGACTGTGGTAACATTTCCTTTTCTCAATTTTTAGGCCTTTTCTGATGCCATTAAAAAATGGCAGGAACTATCACCAGAATCCAGTGGAAAAAGGAAAAAGAGAAAAGAAATGAATCAATTTTCTTACATAGATTTCAAGTTTGAACAAGGTAATGGCAAGCCATGAATGTTATTTACTGCATGAAGTTGCAGAGCAAACTCTATCGGTGGACCCAAAGACTCCGTATAGTAAAGATGTCGGACCTCCCGTGATGGAGTCCTTGCACACACAGGCTTCTGGCTGGCACTGGCTGGCACTGGCTGGCACTGGATGTTGCAGCTATTTCAGGAGTGAACTAGCAGACCAAGATCTCTTTGTCCTGCTCTCTCTCTCTCTCTCTCTCTCTCTCTCTAACTCTGCCTTTCGAGTACATAAATCTTTTAAGGAAAAAAAAAGTGGCATAAAATAAACAGATACTGAATGGCATTATTAGCCATTCAGTAAATCCACGTGGAAACTCTGGTAAGATGTGCCATCACACACCTTACAGAGCTGCCAAAACTAGCAGTGACAGTGTGGAACAGAGAGAGGACCAGCAGGCATTGCTGCTGAGAACATGAAAAAAACCTCAGCCATCCAGGTCAAGTTAGGCAGTCTCTAAGAGCAAGCATACGGCTACAAGACAGCCCAGCAGCTGAATTCCTGTGCAGTTATCCAAGAAAAACAATCTTAGGTTCGCAAAAAGCCCTGAATGTATATGGTCATAACAACTGTATTTAATTGTCCAAAAGTTAGAACAAGCTAAGTGCCCTTCAGCTGGTGAAGAGTGAGCCCGGCACCCCCACCGCGTGGACTCCTGTCCTCAGCAAAAACCCCGGACACATGCCGCGGCACTGCTGAGCGGTAAAGCTGTGGCGTGGTTCATTCATGCTTGACACAGTTACAGGAATGAAGACAGCTCAGTTGTTGGCAAGGATAAGAAAAGCGCTGGTAGCAGTGAGGGAAGTAGGCGTGACTGCGAGGCAGGCAGGAGTGCCACATCTGGACCATCCCTGGGTGCCGCTGCTACTGGTGTCCTCTGTTGTGCAGGTGTTACCGTCTGGAGTATGGGTGCAGGATGCACAAGCTGTCCTAAACAAAAAGAACGTATGCCAAAACCTGGACGACCCAGGAAAAGAAGCTAGAGACTTCATTGTGTTACTTTAGGGGGGAAAAAAAAGATTTTATTTTTACTGAAAAGTCAGATATACAGAGAGGGAGATCTGTCCATTGATTCACTCCCCAAATGACCACAGTGGCCGGAGCTTATCCGAAGCCAGGAGCCCAGAGGTTCTCCCAGGTCTCTCTCATGGGTGCAGGGTACCAAGACTTTGGGCCGTCCTCAGTTGCATTCCCAGGCCACAAGCAGGGAGCTGGATGAAAAGTGGGGCTGCCAGTATTATAACCAGTGGCAGTATGGCATCCTGGCAAGTGAAAGGCGAAGAATTTATGCAAAAGCTGCCGCACCAGGTCCCTTGCATTCATCTTCACAATATGAAAGTACTAATTCTGTAATGCTAGCTTGATAACCCATTTTTTTAAAAAGCTGAATAAAAACAAAAGGAAAAGTAATAAAAGCAGAAAGTGAATTTTATTATTTTCTAAATATTTATTTTGATTTTGTTGGAAAGGCAGATTTGCAGAGAGAAGGAGAGACATTCAAATCTCCAGTCAGCTGGTTCACACCCCAGGTGGCTGCAACAGCCAAAACTGAGCTGATCCAAAGCCAGCTTTTTACTGGGTCTTCCATGTGTGTACAGGGTCCCAAGGCTTTGTGCCATCCTCCACTGCTTTCCCAGGCCACAGGGTGGGAAATGGAGCAGCCAGGACACAAATCGGTGTCCATGTGGGATCCTGGTATGTGAAAGGAAAGGATTTAGCCGCTGAACTACTAATCCAGGCCCAAAAACTGAATCTTAAGTGACTGTGGAAATGATAGCGACTAGCCTTCCTTGGGTACTTATTAGTATCCAGCATTTGCTATTTTTTAAATGCTTATGAGAGGCACCTGCTGTTACTGTCAAGCATCCCAACCCAGCACAGTCACTGCTCTGGGATTCCAGCATGGGCACTCTGGCTTCAGAGCCTGCTCTCTCAATACCGTGTCCTCCTAAAACCAGACACTGGTTTTCTGAACAAAAAGTTTTACTTTTTAAACCTAGCAAAATTAACAAGAGAAAGGGAGAGTAAAATTAAAAATACAGTTGGAACCAGATGTAGTAAATATTGGGTTTTTTTTTTTTTTTAAGTTTTATTTATTTTTTAATTACAAAGTCAGATATACAGAGAGGAGGAGAGACAGAGAGGAAGATCTTCCGTCCGATGATTCACTCCCCAAGTGAGCGCAACGGCTGGTGCTGCGCCGATCCGAAGCCGGGTACCAGGAACTTCTTTCCAGGTCTCCCACGTGGGTGCAGGGTCCCAAAGCTTTGGGCCGTCCTCCACTGCTTTCCCAGGCCACAGGCAGGGAGCTGGATGGGAAATGGAGCTGTCGGGATTAGAACCGGCGCCCATATGGATCCCCAGGCGTTCAAGATGAGGACTTTAGCCACTAGACCACATTGCCAGGCCCGGTAAATATTGTTAAAAACCAAAAGAGATCACTAGAACAACCCTGTGAGTTACTGAGTCTGGAGGAAATACGTTTCTAGAAAGTATGAATTGGGCCCGGCGCAGTGGCGCAAGTGGTTAAGGTCCTCGCCTTGCACACCCAGGATCCCATATGGGCGCCGGTTCTATCCCGGCAGCCCCGCTTCCCTTCCAGCTCCCTGCCTGTGGCCCGGGAAAGCAGTGGAGGACGGCCCAAAGCTTTGGGACCCTGCACCTGCGTGGGAGACCCGGAAGAGGCTCCTGGCTTCGGATCGGCATAGCATTGGCCGTTGCGGTTACTTGGGGAGTGAATCATCGGACGGAAGATCTTCTTCTCTGTCTCTCCTCTCTGTATATCCGCCTTTCCAATGAAAAAATAATAAAAATAAATCTTAAAAAAAAAAAAAGAAAGTGTGAATTACAACATCCCAAACCTGAGCAGACTGGGTACAAATCTGGTGTCTCCCATTCAAACTGTTCCGTTTGAGCTGTTAGTACAGCAAGGCCGAGTACTATGCTGTCAACTTTGCACCTTCCAGAATAGTTAAAAATAGCAGTTGCTGATGATAGGGGCAGCCAGCACGTGGAGTGGCTGGACCTCACACTGCCACCTGCATGGTGCAGGTGCAAAGGAGGGCTGCCACTTGGGAAGCTGCCATCGTTTTCTAAAGCTGAAGGAGAACCAGATCCTGTAGTTCAGCACTTCTACTCCTGTATTGTACACTCAGCTTAACTGCACTCCTTAGCAGCCAACTGTAGGCAGCCCACGTTCTGATAACCCTAAGCTGTAATACCAGGTGTCTCCAGCAGTAGAATGGGTAATGATCTGTGACAGATGGACGAGGCAGTGTGACAGTATGGAGGGACCAAGAAGGTCTGCGAGCCCCTGGGAACCCAGTGGGTGGGGAGTCCAGTGTCCCCACAGGACGGCCCGTGCGAGGGGAGGAGTGGGGCACACCGCAGGAAGTACCAGTGGGACCGGGCTGCAGGGGACCAGCAGTCCTAAATGGCCGCCTGCATGGTTTGTGTCATCTGTGTCTTCCAGGTGACATAAAAATAGAAAAGAGGATGTTCTTCCTGGAAAACAAGCGGCGACACTGTAGGTCCTATGACCGGCGTGCCTTGCTTCCAGCCGTGCAGCAGGAGCAGGAGTTCTATGAGCAGAAGGTCAAGGAGATGGCCGAGGTGGGACGATGGGCTCAGTCGCAGGCCGTGCTGGGCCTCTCCTGTCTGGGCCTCGCTGCATCCTGAGCTTCAGCAGTCAGAGCTGTGTCACCAGAGTTCTAACTGGGGCGTAGGTTTCACCTCCCTCAGCATGCCAGCGTGAGCCAAAGTAGCCATAGGCTCTGTTTCGCTTGTTTTTTTTTTTATGAATGTATATTCGAGTGCAAGTCAACCAGAGTAAGTACAGTGCCTGTCAGTGTCTGCTGGACCAGCGCCTCCAGCGTGGATTCCCGGAGCCTGCATCCTTTGAGGTCACGTCTGTCGGTGCAGTGCTCAGACACTGTCTCCCCTTTTCTCTCACTGGGTGTGCCACAGCACGGTCTAGGCACGGGTGTCGTGTGGATCAGGCGTTGGCACAAAATGGGTAGTAATCACTGTTTGCTCTACCCTGTGCTCATGTATTAAATGCCAGTTCCATGTAAAATATTTTACATGTCAGCCTCTTCCCTTACTCATTCTGCATTTTAAAGCAGATTTGAGAAAGTCTCATACATGTATGTTGTTTCAGTTTATCTCTTTGATCCATTTTAAATTTATTCCGACATGGCTTTTTTAAAATGGTGACTAGATAACTAAAATGATACTGGTTACAGGGTTACCATGTTTGGTTGGTGTCATCTGTACTAAATTTGTATCTGAATGTGTTGTTTCTCTGTTTTGATTCCTCAGCATGAAGATTTTCTGCTTGCCCTGCAGATGAATGAAGAACAGTATCAGAAGGTAATTTGCAGTCTCATCCAAGTTCTTATTATTTTCATAGCTGTCTTAGCATGTTTCCCCAGCATTCTGTGGAGTGTCTGCTCAGCTGGAACCTCTGGGGGAGCTGAGCTGGGGTGTCAGCCGCAGGGATTAGGCAGTGTGCTGTTCCAGCGTTACCTGGAGCCGGCCAGCTGGAATCTCGCAGAGAAGTGCAGAACTTGGACAAGCAAGAGGTCTGGGCCCCAGCTTCCGGCCAGATGGCTTTCCGCGTGGCGACTCCCTTCTCCAGCATAGCCAGAGTAGGGTGGCCGCCGCGTCAGGCACCGCAGGTAATGGAGAGAGCGAGTTCCTTGGCGCATTCTTTGAGCTTGCCACTTTGGTCACCTTCGGTAGCTCCTTAAGATGAAGCTTGACTGAAGCCCCCAGATGACAGATACCATGTTTCCTCTGTTGAATGTTATGTTAACTGGTGCATTAAGCCCATGATTATGGAGTAGATTAAAATAAAGTTTTTGCAAAAATTAAACAAAGGGGAGGAGGAGGATTGAGAGAGGAAAATGGATACCGTAGAATTGCACCTATGAAATATATGAAATCTGTTCTCTTTATGTTAATCGAATAAAAACTTTTCTTTGAACAGTGAAGTTTTTAAAAAGAGAAAGCTTACTTGGGTTATAACTCCCACACATCTGTCTTAAAAGAAAAGTGCAACTTTTGAAGTTTTTTTGGGCAACAACTTCTGTGGCACTTTATCCCTTTTGTAACATGCCAGCATCTGGCACCATTGTTAAACTGTTATCGCTTCTCAGCCTTTCGGCTAAGATCAAGTGTTAACGTGACTGTTATTGTAAAGAATGCGGAAGCTCACTGTGCAGCTGTGGGTTAGTAGTGCATGTCAGGCTAGACTTGTTAGTAAAAAGCATCTCACTGCTTCCTGGCGCCTTGGGGTGGGTTTTGCCCAGGAGTGTGTGTGGGAGAGCTTGAAGGTGCGTGAGCGGTCTCTTCCCTGCTGCTGGAGTGGGGCGTTTCATGCGTGCTTGTGTCTGACACCCGCAGGACGGCCAGCTGATCGAGTGCCGCTGCTGCTATGGGGAGTTCCCCTTCGAGGAGCTGACCCAGTGTGCAGATGCTCACTTGTTCTGCAAAGAGTGTCTCATCAGATACGCCCAGGAGGCAGTCTTCGGGGCCGGAAAGGTAGGAGCTGTCTGATGTGTTCATACAGAAGCAACTTCTGCTTCTCCTTCAAGTTGAATTTATTTGAAAAGCATAGTGATAAATAAAGAGGAAGAGTGGAAAAAAAAAAGTGATCTTCTGTTTTCACTGGTTTACATCCCAAACAACTGCCAGGCTGAAGCCCAGAGCCTCCAACTGTATGGTCTCCAACGCGAGGGGCAGGGGCTCACAGCCTTGGGCCATCTTGAGCTACCCACCCCAACATGTTGACCAGAAACTGGGCCTGAGGAGCATCAGGACTTGAACCAGAACTCCCATGGGGGAGTGGTTTATCGTGCAGGGCCTTCACCCCAGCCCCACAGAGAACTGTGTGGAAGGTCACGTTCCATCCACAGGGAACAGTCTAGGAAGCACACTTTGATGAAAGGTGGGGTCTTCTGATAGGTGAATGTGTGTGTGCTTGAGTGTGTTATTCTAGGCTATAGATTCAGGGAATGCTGAAATTCTTCACCACCATGCACCTAGCCTAGGGGACTCCTTCACCACCATGCACCTAGCCTAGGGGACTCCTTCACCACCATGCACCTAGCCTAGGGGACTCCTTCACTACCATGGACCTAGCCTAGGGGACTCCTTCACCACCATGCACCTAGCCTAGGGGACTCCTTCACCACCATGCACCTAGCCTAGGGGACTCCTTCATCACCATGCACCTAGCCTAGGGGATTCCTTCACTACCATGCACCTAGCCTAGGGGACTCCTTCACCACCATGCACCTAGCCTAGGGGAACTCCTATTTGATCACTTAGCTGCCTGTTCAGACCCTGTTAAGATTGCTCAGGTTTCAATCTAAGTATGAGGTGAATGCCAGCTGAGCCAGAGGGAGGACTTAGGAGGACTGAGGTCGTGGGAGCCCCAGGAGATACTGAGAAGTTGTCCCAGGGTGCAAGGGAAACGAAGGTGTTTCTCTGTCCACTCACAGCACCCATCGCCTCTGCGCCCAGATGTGGGGGCGTCCTCCCCAACAGCGCACTGCCGAGCCACAGTGCACTGAAGGCCATCGTGTGTCCTCTAATTCAGTTCAGTTCTGACTCCATCTGCTGCAAGAGTGTCCATCTACAGACTGCTCCCTTCTGGCTGACCCTACAAACTGGAGTTCCCAAATCCCTCAGGCTCAGTAAATTTGCTAGAGGGGCTAGAAGAACTAAGAGAAACAGGCTGCCAGTTTGTTACAAAAGCTCTGAGATAGATTATATATATATATGTGTGTATATGTGTGTGTGTGTCTATATAGATACACACACACATAAATTGGAAAGGCACATTTATAGAGAGATCTTCCATCCTCTGGATCACTTCCCAAGTGAGTACAGTGGCCGGAGATGAGCCAGTCTGAAGCCAGGAGCTTCTTCCAGGTCTCCCACCCAGGTACAGTGTCTCAAGGCTTTGGATCATCTTCAACCTTCTTTTCAGGCCACAAGCAGGGGGTTGGATGGAAGCGGGGGAGTGGCCAGGACTTGGACTGGCGTCCATATGGGATCCCAGCTTGTACAACACGAGGATTTAGCCACTAAGCAGTCACATTGGCCCAGGATCCAATAGTTTGGAACCAACAGTGTCCTGGAGAGCATCGCTGGGGTGATGCCAGGAGGGCTCTGGAGTGCCTCTGCCCTCCTGGCCTGTTCTTGCTCTGCTGCCTGTAAGCCTGGGTGTGCTCGCTTGGCCTGAAGCTCTGCACGTGTTCTGTTTGTTAGAGAGACTTCATGGCTCAGCCAGGGCAGAGGAAGCGTGGATCGCCCTGTTAAGATGTGGCTGCTCCCCAGCCCCTCTGCAGCACGCCTTCCTGGTGGGCATGGGGGGAACTCCTTCTGGACACTCTCGGAGCAGGTCCGCGACAGGGGCGGGAAAAGGTTTGTGGGACCTCCCTTGGGGAAGACAAATTCTAGTTTTTGTGGGAGATCATGGAACGGGAAAAAGGCAGAAAGGAAAGGTTAAGAGTGTGTCTCACTTTGCTGCTCTGGAATTGTTTCAAAGCGTATTCTAAAAAGTGGAAAAAAGGCCAAATAATCTGTATTTTCTGCTCATCAAAGAATTAAAAAGGGCTGTGCAAGTCGGGAAGCAGGATGAGTCCTGAAACATCAGGGTGTCCTACCAGCACATGGTGGGAGGTGCCAGTTAAAGGTCCTGGCTTGTGTATCCTACCAGCACATGGTGGGAGGGTGCCAGTTAAAGGTCCTGGCTTGTGTATCCTACCAGCACATGGTGGGAGGGTGCCAGTTAAAGGTCCTGGCTGCTGTGCTTCCAGTGCAGCTCCCTGCTGATGCACCTGCCAGGCCGTGGATGATGGCTCCAGTACCCGGACTGCTGACCTCAACCTGAGTCACACCAAGCATTTGGGGCCAATTTGGGAGTGGACATTGTATAGAGTCTGTCAGTCCGCCTTACAAATATGTGAATAATTTTCCTTGAAGACTTATTTTAATGAAAAGTCAAAGAGGAGAGGAAGAGGAAGATCTTCGACCACTGGTTCACTCCCCAAGTGGCCGCAATGGTTGGAGATGAGCTGATGAGAAGCCAGGAGCTTCTTCCAGGTCTCCCACACGGGTGCAGGGTTCCAAGGCTCTGGGCCATCCTCAACTGCTTTCCCAGACCACAGGCAGGGAGCTGGTTGGGAAACAGGGCTGTTGGGATTAGAACTGGTACCCATATGGCATCCTGGCGTGTGCAAGGCAAGGACTTTAGCTGCCGGACCTCTGAGTACTATTTTTTGCAACTTTTTAAAGTATAGAATTGTTTGGAAATCTTCGCTTTAGAATCAGCTTGAGTGGACCTTGGGTGCCCTGACCAGCGGTGTGCCTTTGGGCATTTCCCATCCCCCAGTTTCTTTCTCTGTCAAGTGGAGAGGAGGGAATAATAGATTGAAAGAACTTACTTTCTGAGACATGGTAAATGCCTCATAAACTTCAGGCGTTATTATTTTTAAGGTCTTTTCCCCATCTTTTTGCCTGGTGTCTTTCCTGTTGAAGTGTTCCGAGCCTGTGTCGTTCATGTAAGAAGCTGCGCAGGCGGCGGGACTTCCTCCAGCCCGGCTCGCCTGTCAGCTGTGACGTGTGACTTGCCTGTCAGTGCAGCGGGGGCTCTGTGCCGAGGAGGTTCCGCACGGCTGCTGCGTGGCAGCTGTGAGCGCCTTTCCAAGGGGCTGGCTCTGTAGAGGAAGAAGCTGCCCGAGAGTCCCCTTCAAGCCCTGCCTGAGGCCGCACCCCTTGGCCCTGTGATTCCAGGACATGGGGAAGGGAGTGACTTGATCTTAGCCAGAAGGCCGAGACGCGACACCCGCTCCTTGCACACAGCCTGCCTCCGTCCGCCTCCACTCCGCTAAGCCCCTCCCCGCCCACCTCCAGCAGCATGGGTTTTGTTTGGGGATGAGATGGTTGCTTGATGGCCTTGGCGTTGTGAGGCCAAAGGACCTGATGTCCCTTGAACTTGGACACTGTTGGTTGGCCTCGCGTTAGGAAGTGCGTGCCGCTACACTGCTTGTTGTCTGTTTAGGAGCTTGGTTGAACTTTGTCTTTTCTCGGTGTGTGTGCTTCATCATTGCAGTCGGAGCTCAGCTGCATGGAAGGCAGCTGCACATGCTCGTTCCCGACCAGTGAGCTGGAGAAGGTGCTGCCGCAGACCATCCTGTGCAAGTACTACGAGCGGCGAGCTGAGGAGGAGGTCGCGGCGGCCTACGCCGACGAGCTGGTCAGGTGAGTGTGGTCTGCCAGCTCGTTCCCCATGTGTGCTGTGAGGATCCTGCCGCAGTGCTCTGACCTTGCAGAGAGAGACGCTAGTCCATTTTATCAAGGTAGAAAAATCAGCAGGTCAGATTTCACCTTCCTTGGCACGCATTAACCTTCTGACCTGTGGGAACTCGGTCACCTTAATTTGGAGAAAAAGTGACATTTCCAAAGAGTTCTCCCAGGCTGGGACATGTGTTGATGGAATGGGTCACACTGCAGCAGGACCTGGAAGGGTGTGTTCCTGCTAGCAGCCCAGCATAACGCTGAAGTTCCGTTTGTTTCAATGGGGAACAGCAGACTGAAGAAGAAAGTGGTGTGATGTGTAGCTGAAATTTCTGCCTTCATCTGAACAGTCGCCCCGATTGAGCTCGGGGTGCAGTGTTCTGAGCAGTAGTGCTGTGCTGTTTTGACTCCAGGTGCCCCTCCTGTAGCTTCCCTGCTCTGCTGGACAGCGACGTGAAGAGGTTCAGCTGTCCTAACCCACGCTGCCGAAAGGTAGGGAGCAAGTTTCCTTCTGGATGCCTGCTTGCGATTTGGTGCTGTGGGCTGCTACCCTGAGCGCCCAGGCGTCAGCTGCTGCTCTCAGCCTGTTGACGCTGTGCATGGTGGCTGACATGGTCACGGGGATGAGAACCACTGGTGGAATTGCAGTTCTAAGTCCTGGGAGACATGCTAGCACATGAAATCTGGGGAGTTTTGTGTTATTCCAGTGTGACAACCTCTGGGGAAACCCCAGCACACACATGCGCTTCCTGAGCCTGTCAAGGAAGGCCTGAGTCCTCCAGCCGCTCCCTGCTGCAGCCCTTCACTGTGCGCTGAGAGGGGTGTACAGTCTGTCAGCATGTACCTAGTCAAGCAGTTAGTAAAACTGATTATAGTTGAAGATTATAGCATCTCAAGTAATTAAGGTAGAGATTAAAGAAAGAAGAAATTAAGCTAGTAGAATAAGCTGTATTCCTTTTATTGTAGCATTAATAGTTTGGTATAAACTCTGGAGATATATATATATATACATATATATATAAAGATGGATTTATTTGTTTTTGTTTGAAAATCAGATATACAGATGTGAGAGACAGAGAGGAAGATCTTCTGTCCGATAACTCACTTCCCAAGTAGCCATAATGGATGGAGGCAAGCCAATCAAAAGCCAAGAACCAAGAGCTCCCAGTCCACTCACATGGATGCAGGGTCCCAAGACTGGGCTCTTCTCAACTGCTTTCCCAGGACACAAGCAGGGAGCTGGATGGGAAGTGGGGCAGCTGGGATTAGAACCAGTGCCCACATGGGATCCCGGCACATGCAAGGCGAGGCTCATACAGAACTCATAAATGACCATTTAATGGTATTTCCCAACTCCAGGCAGCTGGCCTAACTAAGTTGTTTCAGTAGTCTGCTCTCTCTGTGTGCTTCTGTGTTCTCTCCTGGGCTACCTGGGAAGTTGGTACATGTGGGCTTGTTCTGGGGTACAGCGGCTGCCTGTACACTGACTGGTACACAGGGAACTTGATAAAGGCTCCTTGAGGCGAGTCAGGACCAGGCATAAGGCATCATATATATATATATATATATATATTTTTTTTAAGGTTTATTTATTTATTGGAAAGTCGGATATACAGAGAGGAGGAGAGACAGAGAAGAAGATTTCCCATCCGATGATTCACTCCCCAAGTGAGCACAACGGCCGATGCTATGTTGAACCGAAGCCAGGAGCCAGGAACTTCTTCTGGGTCTCCCACGTGGGTGCAGGGTCCCAAGGCTTTGGGCCGTCCCCCACTGCTTTCCCAGGCCACACGTAGGGAGCTGGATGGGAAGTGGAGCTGCTGGGATTAGAACCGGCACCCATATGGGATCCCTGTGGCGTTCAAGGCAAGGACTTTAGCCACTAGGCCACGCTGAGCCCCATCAAGCATCATTTTGAGTTGGGGAAATGGATAAAAGCAGGAGGATCTGTTTGGCTGTTGAGTAGTGCAGGTGAGAAATGCACACCGTGGCTTCCTCCCCTGGGGTCTCCCAAAAGCTGCTAAAGAGGAAGTCCATTTCCTGGCGTGAGTTCAAGTTAAAGTTGTGCTAAGGACAGGATTCATGCACAGCTGGGCAGGCCAGCGAGAAGCGGAGGCTGTCGCTCCACGAGGACTAGAGTGTCGGTCTGTACTACTGTCCAGCTGGTATCTTGGCAACAAGAACAGATGTTCTGCCTTCCAGCTCTGGGAGGAGGATTCGTGCCCTGTGGACGTAGAGGTGGGCACGTAGCTTCTTCTGACCCTTGAAATCTGCCAGTAGATAACTTGCTGGTGAGTACTCCAGAGCTGCCCTGGGGACTGGGTTCGGTCTTGCCCAGCAGGAAAGAGCTAGCTAGCAGGTGGCAGGCCACCATCGATCCTGCAGGTCTACGTGCACACCCCGCTCCCAGGTTAGTGCTGAACAAGGTGCCGGGGCTGGGGTGGGGTAGGAGTTCCCACCTCCCCGCTCTTCCCTGGGGAAAGAGTTGGAGTCTCACGTTTTCAGACCCTGCTTGTGTCACTCATGCCGTGGGAAAATGTTCTAGCAGCCACTGCATGACGTTCTGTGCGTGGCTGACAACTTGTTTTGTACTCTTAGTGATGCTCCTGCAGGGCACATGTGACGTGTGTTTTGAAGGGCAGTGTGGTTCACCTCTTCCCTCTGCCAAGATGAACGTGAAGCCTGGGTGAGAGTGAGAAGGCTGAGTGAGAGTGAGAAGCCTGGGTGAGAGTGAGAAGCCTGGGTGAGAGTGAGAAGCCTGGGTGAGAGTGAGAAGCCTGGGTGAAAGTGAGAAGCCTGGGTGAGAGTGAGAAGGCTGAGAGAGAAGCCCGAGTGAGAGTGAGAAGCCTGGGTGAGAGTGAGAAGCCTGGGTGAGAGTGAGAAGCCTGCATGGGAGTGAGAAGGCTGAGTGAGAGTGAGAAGCCTGGGTGAGAGTGAGAAGCCTGGGTGAGAGTGAGAAGCCTGGGTGAGAGTGAGAAGCCTGGGTGAGAGTGAGAAGCCTGGGTGAGAAGCAGCTGAGGTTGGCTTGGTTTGGGGTCCTGACAAGTGCCTCACCGTGACTATAACTGCCTGGGGGCGGGGGTGCTGCACGTTGGCGTGGAGAGACGGCCGGGCACTCAGGCTTCTCTGGTTCCGGCCACCAGGTGGTTGATGCTGTTGGCAGAGGGGAAATAAAAGACATGGCCAGTGTTCAGGGTGAGTACGTCTGGTATGTGTGTGCCCGCCGCCTGGCACATGGAGAGCCACAGGCTGGAGGGAGAGCTGAAAGGAGGGGACAGGCAAGCGGGGGTGGTGTTTTAGGAGGGAGAGATTCTGCAACCCAAGTTCAGAGTGTGCCTGTTTAGTTTTTATTTGTAAAGATTTCTGTCTACTGGTTCACTCCCTGAATGGCTGCAAGAGCTGAAGCTGGGCCAGTCTGAAGCCAGGAGCTAAGAGCTTGTTCCGGGTCTCCCATGCAGGTGCAGGGTCCCAAGGCTTTGGAACGTCCTCCGCTTCTTTCCCAGGCCACAAGCAGGGAGCTGGATGGAAAGTGGTGCAGCTGGGATTAGAACAGGTGCTGGTATAGGATTCCAGTGAGGACGTTAGCCTAGTACCTCCCCCAGCATTGTATTCCAGTGAAAAGAATAATGATCATCAATTCCCATAAGCCTCAGAACCTGAGCTTGACCTGCAGATGGTACCCTCCATGGTCTAGCTTCCCTTTTTCACCGTTAGGATAGGTTTGCCATTCAGGGAAAACAAAGCAGTGACAGCCTGGTGAGTGTGGTCCGCTGGCACATCAGAATGCAAAGTTCCAGCTTGTCTGGCTGAGGGGGAACTTGGTGGCTTTCACTCAGCCCAGCCACAGACCTGCTGGCCGTCCTGTGTGCGCACGAAGGGGAGCTGCCACAAGGTGGCGCTGGTGCTCCACAAGGAGAGGGCCTTCTCCCTCGGGTTTCAGCACGGGAGGCTGGCGTACCAATACACTGCCCCCTCCAGCTCGGCCACATGCCTTCAGGACGCCCGGACTGGGAGGGCTCGGCTTTGCCCCGTTCACCTGGGTGTGTTCCGTCAGCCAGAGCCAGGCTGTCTGTTAGCCCTGGAGGATTGCTGGTGGCCACAGAGGGGGCTGCACACTCGCTTTGGTCTGTGGGGAACTCAGGGTAGCTGCTCTCTCTGTGTCTTTGGTAGTCATCTGCACTCTGGTCCGATTTCCGGGGACTTGGCACTCCCAGGAGGTGTTCATATGAATGTGCTGTCGGAGAAGTCAGGGTGTCTCGGTTCACGTGGACAGTCCTTGTTTTGGTGCCAGGGAGGGATGCTGGGGTCCAGCCCGCGCTCTGCCCTGTGGGCTCCCAGGTGAAGGGCCCATCCGTCTGTAATCAGCATGCTACTTTTAGGAATGAGTCACATATGCTTGGTCCAGGGCTGAAGTGTTAGGTAGATGAAAATTTGAAAGTGATATTTCTGGAATATTTGATTTTTAAGGGTCAGAAATTCCTTTGGAGGCTCTTAGTGCCTTCCCAGAGCTATAACTTGATAAACTTGGAGATATATAAATAGAACTTTCCAGAAAGTTGGCCAGAATCCTTGCCTTGAATGCGTCGGGATCCCATACGGGTGCCGGTTCTAATCCCGGCAGCCCTGCTTCCCATCCAGCTCCCTGCTTGTGGCCTGAGAGAGCAGCCGAGGACGGCCCAAAGCCTTGGGAACCTGCACCCGCGTGGGAGACCCTGAAGAGGCTCCTGGCTTTGGATCGGCTCAGCTGCAGCCATTGCGGCTGCTTGGGGAGTGAATCAATGGACGGAAGATCTTCCTCTCTGTCTCTCCTCTGTATATCTGCCTTTCCAATAAAAATAAATAAATCTTATTTTTAAAAAACAAGATTGCTCATGGAACAGATGCTGAGGTGGAGAGATCGTCAGGTGGGCACAGTTACCTCCAGGAACTGGGCAGCTCAGGGGGTGGACCAGGCAGAAGCCACAGATCACTCGGCAGCCGGTGTCTGGTTTGCAGACTGGGGTCTGGGCATGTGGCTGTGATCGCCTCAGCTCCGACTCTCTCGCTGCTGGTCCTTGCACACTTTCTAGGTCTCGGCCCTTCCTTGTAGTTTTCATGCTGTTAGCTCAACGTGGTTGGAACGACCCCGACATTCACGTTTGCAGCAAGCCAGTGTGTTGCTGAAAGGGAGGTGGCCGCAGCCGCCCGCGGCAGCTCAGTGACTGCGAGGAGAGAATGTGAATGAGTCTGCCAGCTGGGAGTGCCCAGCGGCCCCAGCTGGGACGGTGGGTGGTGGCACTCGGTAGCTGCACTGGGAACTGGAGCTCAGCCCGTCAGCTGACTCCTGTGCTGAGCCTGGGCTGCAATCAGGGAGGGAAGGTTGACACGCCAGCATCGGGGGACGGGGGCTCGGCGCACAGGAGGGCTTCCCTGCCGCATGGAGGAGTCTGTGCTGCCCGGTGCAGGCAGGGGGGCTGCGAGGAGTCTGCAGACCAACCGCTGGCTCCTTCAAG